CAAATCTTAAGATGTGAATCGTGTAGTAATGAGAGCGATATGAAATTCTATTTAATGCAACCCTTATGTATTAGACTTGATATCTTTGTAGCTAACAATTTAATTTGTGATTGTGGAAGGTTTTTGACAGGAGAACAACTTGATATTTTCTGGGGTTATTACAAATGTTTACGAAAACTGTTGAATACTAAATCTTGAAACAAGTGAATATATAAAATCATATTATCTTCAAGATATTACTATAAAAAATATATTATCGTGAATAATATATAGTACAATTTTTATATTATTATTAGTTTTTATATATATATATATTACAATTTTAAACTCTGTAGTTGCAAAATTCTTTTAGCTCGCAAAAGAATCCTGATGGAGTAAAAAGATCTACGGTTAAAAAACGTAGATTGATTTAGCACAACAATGGTTATTCACTATGATAAGTTAGGATCCCTACTCATAGAATACATATTGCTATTATTAGTTGATGAAGGGCCGTTGAGCTGAGTATTATCACCTGGAAGCGGATGAATTTGTGAATGATATGTGGCCTGAGGCCTGTAATCTCTTCCTTCTAAATGGGGCGGTGGTAAATATGGTACAGATGTTACACTCAGAATAGAAGAACCTGAATCTGAGATAGGAGATGCAGGAGAAATCAGCGTTTTTCTTGGTCGTCCTCTTTCTCTCTTCGCAATTCTCTGGCCGTTTGAATGGTATATTTCAGTATCTTTCTTCTTTCGTTGCTTAACAGTCCCATTCACCCTTATGCCTTTAATGGTCAAACCTGTTTCCTCAATTGGGAACTTTCGTGGTCTACCTCTTCTATCTTTTTTCTGAAGAAGCTGCTGTACGGCCTCATCCTCTAAGGTACGCATGGAAGTTGGTTGGTCGTATAATTTGGTTATTCCGCCATCAGCGTCGGATGCTAGAGCATTCTGTGAAACAATAGATGGCGTGGATGATACTGTAGACGATGACTTGACCAATTTATTTAGTTGTTTGAAATTAGGATGCGTTGAGTCAATATACTGATTTGTATGCGGATCAAGAATTAATTTCTTCGGGCGGCCCCTCTTCTTTTTAGAATCGTGCATAATTTGTAGAGGTTGGCCGTTAATAGAACTAAACGGGCGCTGATTCACGGGATGTTCCGCTAAATGATGCTGACGTGGAGGATGCGGAGCATGTAAAGGATGCTGAGGATGTTGGATATGCTGTTGGATATGCTGTTGATAATGCTGTTGCTGCTGTTGTAAGCTATGGAGTTGTTCCTGGAAAACCTGCTGACCATTATGTGTTTTTGGCTGTAACGCCTGTGGCGGCAAACCTAAGGGAGGGATATACATACCATGTCCAATGGATTGTATGGGTGATTCTGCAGGCGACGTGATCATATGCCCACTTGAATGAGGATATACTAATGGTCTGGTCAGGCTGAATGAATCTGTCGGTATTTTAGGTCTCTCAGAAATGTTGACATTGATATTGGTGTTGCCATTACTACTATTGGTGTTGTTCATATTATTTGTATTAGCATTGTTTATGTTATTAAAACTAGGGAAAGGAAGGTACATCTCGCCCAATTTTTTTGAAATTTATTATAATACACCTATTCTTAACTCAACAAGACAATTATATTCACCCATATGTTTATTACTGGTTGTATCCAATTGAATATAATAGAAGATTTCTCTATTTGCAACAAGACAAAAAAAAATGAAAAAAAAAGCGAAGATACAAAAAAAAAAAAAGATGAGATCGCGTGCAGGTTAAGATTTAATTGATAAAGAATGAAAATACGAAAGTAAGGTGTCTATGTTTTATACATTATTATTTCATATGTATTAATTTAATTAGTTTTTAACTTTACTCTTTCTGCTAGGGGTTCAAGAAAGATTAGTTTGTAATTTTAAGCTTTCTGCTAGGAATTTGAGAAAGTAAAGAGTCTTCAAAGTAGTCAACAAATGCTTTCGAGTCAGTTAAGGATTCGTCAAATTTAATATTGAATTCAACATTAACGCTATGCACACCATCACCTGAAGCAGAAGGAGCAGCAGTAGATGGAGAGGATAAACCTAAGATTTCATCGAACTCATCAGCAATAGCAGCTGATGATGTTGGAGATGCTACCTGTCCAAAGAAGGTGTAGTTGATTCCATAAACTTCGAATCTGTTCTTGGTAACTGGAGGAGCTAATAAGTCATCAAACACGTCAGATTCGACCAAAGAGGATGCCGAAGGCGAAGATGAGTATTGGGGAAATCTTTGGGCGTAGGTGTGTTTTATGGCTGATTTGATTGATTTTTCGAATGCGTATTGGAATTTTTCTTTGGAAATATCTTGAGAGAATTCTGAGGTAACTTCGACTGTCAAGATATTGGATGGCTTTTCTGGTTCGATGCTTTCAGGCTTGCCGGCATCCTTTGGTTTTGGTTCTGCTAACTTGATGTTCGATAAGTCTAAATGCTCTCTAGACTTGATATATTTGGCGATACTGACCACTGATTCTTTCTTTATTTCTCCGATGTATGCTAAAACATCCCCCTTTAATAATCTACCGTTAGGACCAGAAGCTGGGATTTTGGAAATGGCATCATCAGCCGAAATGTTATTTTGATGCAATAACAACTCCACAGAAGGCATGAACTTCTGGTTTGGGTTAGCGCTCGCAAATACGCCGTCTGAGTTGCCATCTGACCCACTCTTCTTTGGCTTGGTCTGTTCTGCTTGTTTCTTAGGCTGCTCTTTTGGTTGCTCCTTGGCCTCTTCCTTAGGAGCTTCCTTAGGGGTTGTCTGTGGCGCTTCTGCCTCTAAAGATGGCTTCTCTAAGCTCGATAAATCGTCACCTGGCTCTGCTAACAAAGCAATCGGTTTTCCAACTGCCACTCCACTGGCCCCATCGTTTTCCAAAACCTCCCACATAATACCATCATCCTGTGCCTCGACATCAATGGTGGCCTTGTCAGTCTCAACCTCCAACAACACATCTCCCGCTGAAAACTCCTCTCCTGCCTTAAATTTCCAAGCAACAATTCCTCCTTCAGTCATTGTAGGTGACATTGCAGGCATCTTAAATACTGACCCAGCATTCAACTTTACACTGCTATGAAATGCCGATTTCACGTATCTATTGACATTATTACGAATAATTGGTCTTAATGTACTACCTCTAAGCATATTGTCTATCCTTTATCTATATTTGATACACCTAGACAAGCTTCTTCTTCCAAACTCATCTATATATTGTTAGCGGTACTGAGTACCGGTGTATTATGTCCGACGGGTGCGACATATCCGCGACGCGACATTGTAAATGTCGCGATTTTTCTCCTGGGGATTACCGGGGGAAGCTGGCGAAGCTTGCGACTTGACACGATATTTTCCGGGAATTTGTTTTCTGGATTTTTTTCACCAGTACGAAAAAACACGGTTGTATACTAAATACAGAAGACGTATTCTTTAATAAATCATTAATCCTATAATTACATATATTGCATATATATAAATATATGGAATATTTTGACTTGGAATACACAGTTTGTTATAGTGTATCTTTTATTGTGGGTAAAACATTAAATTTGTATACTAAATAATCGAATATTTATACCACAAGTGTACTGGATTAGCAAGTCAAAATATATTAGCATAAGGAATTATTTTTATTGGCGTGATAAAAACAAGAGGATTAGTATAAGTATAGAAGCTATACTAAGAAAACGACATTACAGGAACGTACGTACGTTAAGCAAGAGAAATATACATAGATATTGAAGATGAATAGGTTGGCGAGAGGTGGTAATAGCGTTAAAGGGCTATTTGATAATGCATATTCGGTATTGAAGAAATACTCCAGATTCATTGGACCCGGGCTAATGGTTTCTGTGGCATATATGGACCCAGGGAATTATTCGACTGCTGTGGCTGCTGGTTCAGCTTACAAGTATAAATTGCTTTTCTCGATATTGCTTTCGAACTGCTTGGCTATATTTTTACAGATTTTGTCTGCCAAACTTGGAGCGGTGACGGGATTAGATTTGGCAGCCAATTGCAAAGCCAATTTATCATTTAGGGTTAACATATTCATTTACTGCTTAGCAGAACTAGCTATCATTGCTACGGACTTAGCAGAAGTTGTGGGGACGGCGATTTCGTTAAATATTTTATTCGATTTGCCGTTACTTGCGGGAGTTATAGTGACAGTCGTCGATGTATTGATTGTGTTGATGGCATACAGGCCAAAGGGCCCACTTTTATTTGTGAGAATTTTTGAGTCGTTTGTTTCAATTTTGGTTGCAGCAACAGTGGTCTGTTTTGCAATTGAATTATATCAAGTCTCACACGAAGAGGCCATTAATTTTTCTACGTGGGAGGTCATTAAGGGTTTCATGCCAAACGAGAAAGTTGTGGATATGAGCGAACGAGAAGGCGGAAATGGTTTATATTTGAGTTTGGCGATTTTAGGTGCAACAGTTATGCCTCATTCTTTGTATTTAGGTTCAGGATTAGTCCAAGCAAGATTAAAAGACTATGATATTAAGCATGGGCATTATAAGCCTTTATCGGATGAACCATCTAACTCGGAAGAAGATGTTGAGTTAGAGCATAATAACGAATTTGAGAGAAACGTACAGCCCGACCAATGTACCACTAACCTGTTTGAAAAGGATGAAGACGATGAAGAACTTGATCATTATAGACCATCAATACACTCGATCAACGATACAATGACTTATACTATAGTTGAATTAGTGATTTCATTATTTACTGTGGCCTTGTTTGTTAATTCCGCGATTTTGATAGTGGCTGGTGCTACCCTTAACAATAGCAACCATAAAAGAGACGATGATCACGACACTGATGATAGTGATGATGAAGATGATTATCAAAATGCTGATTTATTCACGATCTACAATTTATTATCCACACACTTATCTCCAACAGCAGGCTTTGTATTTGCTCTTGCTTTGCTTTGCTCAGGGCAGAGTGCAGGGGTTGTGTGCACATTAGCTGGTCAAATGGTCCTGGAAGGGTTTTTGCTGTGGAGTTTACCTCCAATTACAAGAAGGTTAATCACAAGAGGGTTGGCTATTGTTCCTTGTTTAGTAGTTGTAACATTATCGGGCCGTGAAGGCTTGTCAAACGTCTTAAATATGAGTCAAGTTGTGTTGGCGATATTGTTACCGGTTGTCAGTGCCCCATTGATTTGGTTCACTTGTTCAAAGGAAATCATGAAAGTTCCTATATTCGTTAGGGATGGTGATGAAGAGATTGATATCATGATAGATAACGATATGGATAGCGGTATTTCCAGAACAATTACTACAAGCAGCACAGCCACTTTAACAAACGGGAAGGTAAAGAGATTCAAGAGTACTGAGCCCGCGATCAGATTACAAGATTTAAGAAATTCCCATCCGTGTGCAGGGTGGGATGAAGACGAGATAGAAGCATCTGAAGAACAGCAGCGCTTGATTAGCCACAATAATGATCCTGATCGTGAGATAACTTCAAGTCTTGGTACAAACGAAATTCAATATGGCCAGCATCGTAGAAATATTTCGGCAGAAAGTGATACTTATGCTAATACCATAATTGAATCAGAAGAAGAAACATATCGTGTTAAGGGCTACAAAGATATGAGTAATGGACCTGCTACTGCATTTACGGCAGTTTTAGTATGGGGTTTTATAACTTGTTTAAACATATATTTATTGGGAAGTTTGATATTGGGATATGATGTTCCAATATGAGGTTTTAATCTGTCTCTTTTATTATTGCATTATTCTAAATAATATCGACATTTATAGATTATTAAAATAGCATTTTTTCATTAGGACTTTTGTAGTTAAGATTTGAAAAATCCAAACCCCTGTACATAAGTACTTAGATAAAAATGATCGACGAATTTTTATTCAATATGGAACAATCGATTCTAAAATTAAAGGAACAAGAATATATCATTAACAATGCCGTCGAAGTCAAACATAGACTCCTTTATTGATTTCTCGTCACAATTATTAGAAGCATACCCCTCGACTACGACTCTTTCCATAACATATGCGAATGCATTAAAGAAACAATCCAAGAATAAAGACAAAGATGGCTCTAAAATAGACACATCTAGCGATAATAACAACAAAAAAGCAACTAATTTGGTAACGTTTAAATGTTATGAACCAAATTCGGGAAAGTGCATTAAATATAGTACCTACAAAATCAAAGAATTATCTAGGTTATTGACATTTATTGGTCCTAGAGGAGTGAGTGTTTCGAACACGAAGAAGAGACCAATTGAAGATGAACAAGGTAACACTGATGCTAAGAAAACTAAGGTTGAGACAATAAATGAGCACACCAATGGGTTAGCAAGTATTATGAGTAATGTTAAATTTGATAATGAAGAACCTTTATCTACCACTATTTCAAAGGTCGATACTCCTCCAGCCGAGGAAAAAGAGGCCGTGCATGCTAATAACGAACCAGCTACTAGCAGCAGTAAAAACAAGAAGAAGAAGAAGAAGGGAAAGAAATAGGTATATAATTTATAATTTACATACCATTACATAATAAACAAAAGGATAATAATATTTAAACGTAAACAACAACAAGAAGAGATAGAATATTAATTAATATTATCAGAAAATATTAGAGATAAAAGAATAGGAACATATATCAAAGAAGTTTATCAGTATATTAATATGTTCAAATATTGACTAATGAATTGAATGGAATAAAACACTAAATAATTAAGGAAAAAGTATAATGGACATTGGGCACAACTATGTGAGATATGAACTCAACTAAAGCCACAAGACGTTGGGTACAAAAAATATTAGAAAAAAGCGCTGAAATCATATAAGGATTAATCCAGAAAATTATGGTTTGAATAAACTCTTGAATCTCGAAATGAGGGTTTCTCTCTTCACAGGTGGTTTGGTCTCAAAGTAATTCTTGCTTGAATTTGTCTCAGAAGAAGTTGGCGATGGGAATGAACCCGGAACCTTCAATATTTCGACTATTTCATCCTTGTGACTTTCCGTGTGGCTTGTCAGCTTATTTTTAGCAGGAACATTCAGCTTCGCCAAAGGTTGTTTTGCGCTAGTAGATACTCGTTGTGAGCTTGGCTCAATATTTGATACCGACGTATCAGCAGTAGAGGAAACTTGATCTTTATTTTTCGTATCAGTTGGAGTGGAGAGGACATACGAATTGACGACCGAGTTCGTTGGGGTGTCAAATTGGTTTCCATTGTCGTACTCTTCCTCATCGTCCTTCCCAGTTCCAGATTCATCCTTGAAAACTCCGCGATTGTCCTGTGGACTTTCATAAGCATCAACAACATGCTCATATTTCGAATCACTCGTGGAGTCGTTGGTGGAAATGGCTGCGAATGACAGAGTAGCGGTCAACGCATCACTATTGTCTTTAATGTGATCGACCTCACCCTTTTCCTTCACCCCGTTTCCACCTGATGCTCCCTTAACATCATTGCTCCTTCTAACGCCTCCAATACCGGCAACTTTTCCCCCCGACACGTCGTTGGTCTCGCCAGCATCCTGCTCAAATTCCTCAACCTCCACTAACTCATCGGCATCAATATAGTTGTTTTCGATCCCATTACCATCAAATTCCTTCTTGTAGCCTTCACTTGTAACCCACTCTGTTCCGTTCAAAACAAATTTGAACACAATCTTCTGTTTTTTGTCCACCCGGACTTGGTCCTTAAACGTACCTGCTTCTCTAGTCAAAGGAGCATTGGCCTTCGCCCAATTATCAAAATTACCTGTAACCTGCACCGTTTTCACATCGGGATCGCTGCTAGGCCTATTTCACGTTAATATTCTGAATTTTTCATGTTTGTCAAAAATTTCACTTTTTGGCTATCCTCCTCGATACCACACCACGGATCACTTCATTCCTTGTGTCTCTCATACATACCATTCGATTAAATAAGTATAATAAGTCATCTTCTCTAATACTATCTCTGCCTCCTTTCAAGTTCCTTGAATATATTGAAATGTTATATAAATGCCCAACAAACTGAAAATCAACACAAATCTCCCTAATATAATGGCTGTAAAATTGTGATTCGTATTTGTTTGATAAAAACAGTCCGCCTGCGTAGACCCTAATGTATGGGTGTACTGATGTATAGCCAGTTTCGGACGATAGTTGATCCCTGAGAAATTTTTTGGAGGGCCCGGAGTTCGACCCTGTAACGCGAATCGGTAGAATGTCGTAAATATGTCGGGGAAAATGTCTCAATTTGATGACATAATCCACTGAAAAATTATCTCAGCCAAACGCGTATAGAACAGGGTGTAAGTAGTTGTTGATATAGCTAACAAAGTAGTGGTATTCAATTGTTTCAAAACGATAATCATAACTACCGTACACGGATATGAGTAAGAGAAGCAGTAGGCAAAATGCAGCTGCTAATGCTGCAGCTGCCGCTCGTAAAGGACAAGATAATACGGGCATTTTGACAATTGATCCAGTTATGGAGCCTCAATTCGAGAACGGACAGTATAGAGAATATTTGGTGACCACAGCGCTGCCATTGTTGAGCAAGAAGCGTAATATGACGTCCAAGGAGTATCTTTTGGTTGCAGGGTTATTGGTGTGTGCGTTCTACGTGAGATGTTCGAACTTGGCGTACCCTAACTCGGTGGTGTTTGATGAAGTGCATTTCGGAGGGTTTGCACGGAAATACATTTTGGGGCAGTTTTTCATGGATGTGCACCCGCCATTGACCAAGATGTTGTTTGGAGCTGCCGGTTTGATCGGGGGATTCAAGGGAGACTTTGATTTCAAGGCGATTGGGAACGAATTCCCTGCCACGACGCCTTATGTGACAATGCGTTATTTCCCGGCATTGATGGGCGTGGGTACGATTTTGTTGTGCTATTTGACATTGAGAAACTCTGGATGTAGACCAATTGTATGTCTTATTACCAGTGCAGCCTTAATGATTGAGAATGCAAATGTGACTATTTCCAGATATATCTTATTGGACTCTCCATTGTTGTTCTTTATCGCGTCAGCAATCTATACGCTTAAGAAGTTTGAAGTCCAAGTTCCATTTTCTTTCGGTTGGTACAGATGTTTGGTTGGATGTGGTATTGCTTTAGGATTAGCAGTCAGCTCCAAATGGGTTGGCTTATTCACTATTGCCTGGGTTGGTGTATGCTGTATCTACCAACTCTGGTTCATCATTGGTGACTTGTCTGTCAACTGCAAGAAAGTGGTGCACCATTTTGTTATCCGTGGTGCCTTGTTATTAGGTATTCCTATTTTCTTATATTTGTTATTCTTTTCCGTTCATTTTAAGTTATTGGCTAATGAAGGTGATGGATCTGCTTTCATGTCCAGTGCATTTAGAGCTTCTTTGAAGGGTAATGCTATCCCAAGAGATATCACTGCAAACGTTGGATTTGGTTCAATTGTTACCATTCGTCATTTGGAAACTCAAGGGGGTTATTTACATTCTCACAACCACTTCTATCCTGCTGGTTCAAAGCAACAGCAAATTACGTTATACCCTCATTTAGATTCTAACAATGATTGGATTATTGAACCTTATAATGAAACCATGCCTGACACCTTTGTTCCTATTACTGATGGAATGAAAATCAGATTGAAACATGTTAACACAGGCAGAAGATTACATTCACACGATGAAAAGGCCCCTGTCAGTGAAAGAGATTGGCAAAAGGAAATTTCGTGCTACGGGTTTGACGGATTTGACGGAGATGCTAATGATGACTTCTTTGTCGAGATCGTCGAAAGTAAGTCGGCACCTGGTGAAGCCCAATCTAAGTTGAGGGCATTGCAAACTGTTTTCCGTTTAAGACACGTTATGACTGGACATTATGTTTTTTCAAGTACTGTTAAATTACCTGATTGGGGGTTCGAACAACAAGAAGTCACAGCTGCTTCACAAGGTTACAGACCATTAACAAACTGGTATATTGAAACTAACAAAAATACCCGTGTCAACAGCACAATTGAAGAGATAGTCAACTACCCTGTTCTTTCATTCTGGGATAAAGTTGCAGAATTACATAAGAGAATGTGGAAAATCAACCAAGGTTTAACTGACCACCACAACTGGCAATCTTCTCCACATGAATGGCCATTATTGTTAAGAGGTATTAACTATTGGGTTAAAGATCACAGACAAGTTTACTTTTTGGGTAATGCAGTCGTCTGGTGGGCTTCTTCCGCAGCAATTGTCACTTTTGCAATACATTCCTTATTCTCCATTGTCAGATGGCAAACAGGTGCTCAGGTTGCTGGAAACAAGCATGTCTTCAACTTCAATTCGCAAGTGTTCTTATACACCGTTGGTTGGGCATTGCATTATTTCCCATTCTTCATTATGGGTAGACAATTATTTTTACATCACTACATCCCTGCTATTTATTTTGCCATATTAGCATTGGGTCACTTTTTTGATATTCTTGTCAGTTACCTCACTGCAAAATATAAGGTATTAAACAAGGTCTCCTATGGTGCTTTGGGATTATTCTTAACTTTCGCCTTGGTATTTTATGCTCAATATTCTTCACTTATTTACGGTTCTCCATGGACTCGTGAAAAATGTGAAGCTTCCAAGGCTATAGGAACTTGGGATTTTGATTGTACTACTTTTTTGAACAACATCAACGAGTACTCAACTTTACTCACCACCGCTACACAAACCCCAATCCCAGAAGATCCCGCAGCACCAATCGATGCACTTGAAGCAAAGGAAGCGAAAGAAACTCCTCAAGCTGCTCAAAAAAAGGTGGCAAAAAAAGAGGAACATCAATCGCAGGCTGAAGATGCTGAGGAGCCAAAATCCGATGAAAAAGTTGAAGAACTTGTTCCACCATTAGCTGTCGATCTTGAAGAGACAAAATAATTATTCTAGTTTACATTTACGTAGATATCTCAATACATTTCAAATAATATATCTTTTATGTCATATCAGGAATCAGAATTTATCATTAAGTCCGTAATCGTTACTCACGTGATTATTAACATCAGGAAAATTATATTCGTTAGATCGATAGGCCATTTCGATTACTTTTATAGTTTACAACTCCTTTCACTTAATACCAACCTTTCTTACTTGAGATTCGAATATGTCAGAGGTGGAGAATAATTGCCGAGTATGTCGAGGTGAAGGAACACTTTCTCAACCGTTGCTACATCCTTGCAAATGCCGTGGATCTATTAAGTATATTCATCAGGATTGTTTGCTAGAATGGTTGAAGCATTCCAATAAATCCACAAAGAAGTGTGATATCTGTAATACTCCGTATAAATTTCGAACTATTTATGACCCACAGATGCCTGAACGGATTCCAATTAAGTATATATGGGGAAAATTTCTTGAAGTTGTTTCGTCGACTACCATCAAGAGCTTGTCAATTTTGCTCTACATCACATGTCTCATAATTCAAGTACCGCTATTTTGGAAGTTTATGGGCCGTATTGCTACATGGGCAATTGATGGGACGTTACCAAGAGCGAATCCAACTTTTCTAGAGGCTTTGCTATTTGGTGAATTGGACTTTCTGAATTATGATCTACCATCGAGTACGACGAAGGTGTTTTTGTTCAAATTAAGAAAATTTGTTGATTATACCTATTTCAGTGGAATTCGTTATATTTTGATGTACGTGATTATTCATTTAGCTCTATTTGTCGAACACGAATGGGTTGTGAGAGATGAGGGTTATACCAAGCTTTTGCTTCGCAAAATTGGCAAAGAGCCCAGAGCTAAATTGGTTGATATGTTGCAGCAGGCATTGTCAGGATTAAGAAATGATGGCGAAGCAGGTAATGCTGAAGCAAATGATAATGTACAGAGATTGGAAATGATAGCAAGAGCAATAAATGATTTACAAGAGCAACCTAATAATGGCCAACACGAGGAATTATTAAGAAGAGCTATTGAACAGGATGATAGGCAGAATAATGAACGCGAAAATGTTGAAAATGTGAATCCAAACTTATTTAACCATGAGAATGGGGTAGAGCAAAATGTAAGAGATCCAACCGACGATGAAGTGGAACTGAATGATGAAAGAAGAACAATTTATTTGCGTCCTGAGACTGAGCAAAATCAGGACCAGCAAAATCAAGTAGACGGACACTTGAATGGAGAATACCATGAAGAACAAAGAGACGAAGTCAGGAATGGTAATGCAGAAGACCTTCTTGCTCAAGCTGATCAAAGAATTGACCAAAATGACTTGTTTGAGCAGAATCCATTTGAAGAAGTCAATGAAATGAATATGGATGACGCCGAAGATGACTTGAATGGTGGAGGTGGGGACATTTTACAGCTTTTAGGTATGAGCTTAAATTTGAGCAGTCCAATTTTCCTTATGGTTATGTGTGACGTTATTATTTGCATATACTTATTTGTGACATACTTGTTTCCACATATGTTGGGTAGCCTATTTGCAATAACTACTGGTATGACATTAAGGTTACTAAATTCTGTTGTATTTAAACGGGTTTATCCCACATCTTTGATAGAGAAATTTAATTCTATCATATTTATGGATAATGATAAAATTCAAAAGACCGGAAATGACTTTCTTGATTTTACTTTATTCACAGTCTTTGAAGTTATAGTTAAGCCATTATCATCTACATTTCGCCGTTTAATAATTGACCAGGATTTATCGCAGCCTACATTAATAGAAAGAATTATTTTGTTGACGATTGGTTATAGCATTATTGCTTTTGTTGTATACAAATTTATGAATAGTTTGATATCAGGAGCTAAACCAGTTATGGGTACACCAAGGAAGCTCTATAAAATATTATTTGAAGTAGCGTCTACTACTAAAGTGTTCATTATATTTGCTATTGAGATCTTTTTTTTCCCCGTATATTGTGGCTGGCTATTAGATTTCTGTATTGCCCCAATACTATTGTCCCACTTTTCTAGTATTAGTGATGATGGATCCGTTACTTTTACTATATTATTATCTTCTGAATTGGAAGTCTTGCAAATTCATTATATCCGCGTGGTTTTGTATTGGTTATCGGGAACTCTTTATATGCTATTCTTTGCATTATTTGTTGGAATGATAAGGGGCCAAGTTTTGCGTCCCGGAGTTTTGTTTTTTATTAGATCACCAGATGACCCTAATGCCCGTTTAATACATGATGCATTAATGAAACCATTGATGTTGCAGTTATCTCGCATATATTTAAGTGCTAAGGTATACACTGGATTTATTTTAATAGGAATTGGAGGTGTTACATGGGGCTTAAGGTATTTGGTAACACCACCAAAAGATATTACTTACAACGTTATGTTACCATTGCAAATTCCTTCTGTTATGTCAGTTGCTATTACATGTATTGCGGTGGGTGATATTATTTTAAATAAGCCTTTGATCACAGCTTATTGTCAGTCATATTGGGCAAGAATTTTCGAAATATCCGCCCACAAGTTGCGTTTATCACATTTTATATTAGGAAAACCAATAGCGCAAGAACGTGGATATATTGTTTACAGAAGTGCGTTTCATAAATTGTTGGGCCTTTCACAACCAGACTATTCAAATCCAGTTACCTATAGAGATGCTTTACGTATATTTAAGACGGATAATCTGGTAAATGCTTGTTTTGTTCCAGATGGTAATTATGTAAGAGCACCAGATAATGATACTGTTACAAGGAAATTCATAAAAAAATTGTTTGTATCGGTAACTAAAGATGATAAGCTATTATCTTCCAACGAAACTCAAGATTCTAATAAAAATGGATATGAAACTGATTCCGATGACGATGAGATTAATACCGATGATGCCTACACGATTGTGTATAGACCTCCAAATTTTAAGTTAAGATGCCTTGGTCTCATTTGTATGTTGTGGGTATTCTCTGTTATATTAATATTGGGAATCATTTTCGCAGGTTTAATAATCGGGAGACCGGTTATCAAAGCATTTACCATATTGCTAGACCTTACAATTACAACTGAAAAATCTTTAGATATCTACAATACACTTTTTACTCTAACTGAATTTGACTGGAGGTTGGCTGATATATCCTCCATTTTTATTGGGATCAAATTCGAATTAGCCGTGTTGAAATTTATCGACGACCGAACCAAGCTGGCCACCGATACAGGAGTTAATAATGAAGTAAACGTTGAAGGAATTGGTGAAGTAAGAAATGATGAACAAGGAATTATGGCATTAGGCAGAAATTTCGTTCCTCGATTTGGCCAAGTAATTGTTGCCTCGTTTATTGTGTATTCATTGTCGTCAGTATTATGGATTTTGTGGGTTTTATCAGTTCACAAATTTTGTATTGATTTGCCATTAAGAATGTACACTGACAATGTATATAATAATGATAATCCAGGGCATGTGTTGATGGAATTTTTATTAACAAAAACTGCAGTTGTGATTCACCTTATTGCTGGATTTTGGACAGTTGTTCCATTCTGCTTATATTTCACAGTAGATTTGAGAAATGGAATGTTGAATGGATTAGGATTTAGAGATTCTATTTGGAAGTCTGGCTTGAGTACAATATTAATTAACTTTGGAATTGTCCATGTGCCTGCTATACTATACACTTTATTTAAACATCGCCAGGAATCTTTGGATTCAATGATGCTTGAAGGAAATGATGCATATGTCTGGTGCGTTACATTAGCATGCTTCATAGCTATTAAATTAGTAACTGGGGCCAACAGATTAATTAATAGGATCAACGAGCAAGTCAAAAACGAAAGATACGTGAAAGGAAGGGCTATAGAAAATATTGATATACCAGATGAACAGTGAATTTTACTTATATTTTGTAAATATGCAAAGCAATTAAATAAATATTTAAGGAGATAGCTTGTACTTGTAGTATGTAATCTTAGTTCTCATCGGACCCTTCGTCGTGCTGTCTTAATGTTACATTTCCTGTAACCTTTCTTTTCTTTTTCTTTGGATTAGGTTGTTCGTATTTATGCTTATTATTGTCATCATCATTATCGTCATTATCTTTCTCAATAGCACTTATATTCGATACTACATTCTTATCATCAAATATCTTCTTAGCCTTCTCAATTTTTTGACTTTGATTTATAATATATTCCAATCTTGATAATTTATATGGGTCATTTCTTAAAGCAAAAGGAAAATCGTCAATCTTAACTCTAGATCTTCCTTGATTTCTAGCAAATTGTAGCGTCGTATGACATAAATCGCTGAGATATGTTACTAATGTCTCTTCCAATGCATTTACTGTTTGGTCCGAAGAATAAGGTCCATCACCTAAAGAATACAACAATTGCTCAATATCCCTGGTAAAAAGACGTTGTTTTCTTCTTCTCTTCGTATTCGTTATAGGAGGTTGGGTATTATATGACATTCTTGTAAAGAACCATCATAGCTGACACTATAGGACTACTTATACAGAAGAAATACCAAGTATTCATATCGGTAACCACACTACCACACAATCTATGCTAAAGGTGTTGCATTCTATACTATATACCAATAAATGCTAGCTACAGAACGCATGTAAATGTTACCATTATATGATAAAAGAAGGCAAAGATATCACCTGTCAGTAACGAAAACCTAATTGTTTATCTTACTAGCTCATGATAAACAATACCTTCTACTTTGGTCTTACTACATTCGGGGAGTCTGGTGAAGACTTTGGATCCAGACAAAATTTCAGAAATGTACCCCTTTAATGGACCCAGCTTCATATCTTCGATTGCAATTTTTTTACAGCACCCCAACTTCACCAATTCGTCGGCCACTTCCTCTTGATGCTTGTTCATCAATTTATCATTCGTGACCACGATTAGGGGCTTTTCCAACCGCAATGTGTCTATAATAGACCCAGTACCTGCATGGGAAATTACCAAGTCAACTTCAGATATTATTCGGCAAATATCGTTCGAAAATGGGAAAACCACCATTTCAAACCCATGATACTTACTCGAACGGTATGTCACCACATTACTATCGTATTGCAGGGCCTTCACCTCCTCCAATTGTAGATGTTGCGTCAATTCCTGTTCTTCCACACACAGCTTATAGTATTCTTCACTTATGTGTCTATTTGTGCCGGTTTCGATTTCATTGCCGTACTGCACTATCATTCTGGTGATCCCATTTCCAATGATAGCCTCTACTACAAACTCGTAGTTTGTAATCACCTCGAGTAATTGCCTAAAAGTTACGGTGGCACCGCTTGTGAATAATATGCTTCCCATTCTCAAAAGTGATTTCGCTTATCCGAAGAATTCCCGGTTATTCAGACTAGGCGCTCACCAGCTCTAAAACCAATATTCTAATAGGATAGAATGACAGGTGAATGACAAAATGATAGTATATAGCTCTTATTCAGCTCTTTTTCAGCTCTTTTTCAGCTTTCTTCAAGTCCTCAACACCAATTATGTCTACAGTAGAGTTCCAGCCAATAGATACCTGATCTAGATGGTTTCTGCTGTGAAGTGTAATGATAATATAATGTCGTGTTTATCAGTTTCTTTTTTTTTTCTTTTGTGTAGGAAAATGTCGGAAGCCCAAAATATTAGTTCAGGCCTTCATCGGACATATATAATATCAATTTTTTGCAAAACTTACTAAACAACAAGTTGAATAGACAAGACATATACGAGACATATTTTATATAACCTGGATTAATTTGGTAAACAGGAATATTAATATTGAGTATAAAAGTTGTTGGTTGATAGTTTAAGGATAAACTAGACGTATAATGGATACGCAGAGAAGTTCAACCTCAAGTAATAAGTCGCCAAGTTCATCGGCATCCACTCCACAATTAGCAGCAGGATTAATACCAGGTGCTACTCAGCCGATACCAAAGAAGTCACAGCAGATTAAAACAGATAAACCAAGGCCGCATATATGCTCAATATGTACTAGGGCTTTTGCGAGATTGGAACACTTGAAGAGACATGAGAGGTCGCATACGAACGAAAAGCCGTTTCAATGTGCTGTTTGCGGACGATGCTTTGCTAGAAGAGATTTGGTGTTGAGACACCAACAGAAGTTGCATGGAAGTTTGCCTAATATCATGCGCCGGGGTTCGTCGAAGGACGTGGACATTAACGAACACGTTATTGTGTTGACCAACAATACTGATGCAAACGCACCACTTCCATCATCGATGAACCAGGACGGATCGTTAGCATTACCGAACGGGATAAATACGGTGTCCCCAGGGCAATCGCAACTTTTTTCACCTCCAAAAAGCAATGAATATGGGGGAGCGAATAATGCGAATGCTAATAGTAATGCGAACCAAAATAACTACAACCAGACCCAGCAAGGACAACTTCGGACTTCTTTATTTAACCACCTTAATTCTTATACCTTGAAGTCACAAAGCTTGGGCACTAACCAGTATTCTGGTACTAGCAATAACGGAACTGTAATACCGTCGCCGATTCCCACAAACTCGAGTCACAATACACCTCCTAATATAGCCCAACAGAATACGAGCTCTTCACTCCCAAACGTTACTCAACAACCATCGCCCCAGGCTGGTGATTCGCCTAACAAGCAATCAAAGCAATATCATCATATTCCCCCACATTTACGTCAACAACAATCTCAGTATCGCCATGCGTCATTCTCGGCGTCCTCAGCAACGTCATATACTAATGTAAAGGATTCTATTAATATTCTGCAAAATAACACCATCGCTGAAGCACCAGAGCACGTAGAGTTTGCTACTCCTCAGTTATCGGCAATTGATTTGCATTCGAAACGATTATTGTCCGAGTTAGATTTGCATTCATTGGGTCTTGATATTGAAAATATAGACAGCCTTGATCTAGGACATAACTCACATCATCCAGCCTTCAACCATTTAGCTCATAATGCAAATCGAGCTTCAAAACACAATCCAAAGGATACACCACAATACGCAGAACAGGACGTGATAGCTGCACATCAGTTTCAAAACCCAAATCACCCACATCATATTAAAGGCACAACTCCTATAGAACCTGAAATGTACGCACCAAATGACCCTGCTATGGTACAGCATATGCTACAAATGAATGGTCTTAATAGCGAAGCAAGTTTTGAAAATTTGCCTAGCATATCTAAATATGGCCGTTATGAATTTTCTTTGAATAATGCAGTAATACAGGAAAAGCAGAAGAGAAAGGGCAACCCTATTACGGCCAATTCTACAGACCACAAAAGAATGAAAAGTAATCTTGATATACAGACTGACAATGACTGGTTGGAAGATATGATTAATGCTCCTTCTGCATCTACATTCTTTCCGGCATCATATCATACTGGATTTGATGATTCTGGCGATTTATTACCTGGCCTGATTGATGATATTTCTTCATTATTTAGAGCAAGACAGGTTGACTTAAAGCAAATCAGTCCTCCAAATTCTAAAATCCAAGAAGACAATGAATCTGATATCAATATTGCCTTTACTATAAATGATTCACAATCCAATTTCATAACTGAAGAATTGCGTAATCGTATCATTTTAGTAGGCAACTTATCAAATTTACAATTTCCTCCATTAGAAGAGTTAAATTCATATATGAAATTATATGAGAAAGAATTCAATAAGTTCTTTCCATTCGTTCATCTACCATCCTTAAAAAACCCAAGGGTTGATTTTTTTGAAAAGATTCCATTATTACTTGCAATGGGAGCCATAGGTGCATTGTATTCTTATCGAGATACTAATTCTTTACTTTTATTCAATCTATCAAAATCGCAAATTCAAAAGTTTTTTGAAAAAGAGGTTACAACGAACCATTTGGAGTTAAAAAAGATACCACTTATGGTACATCAATGCTTAGTACTACATATTTTTATTGCTATGTTTTTGAATGAACCAGATATGGTTGATATTACGTCGAAACAAATGAAATCAATGGTGGGCTTAATTAAATCAACAGACTTTAATAAACCTTTAGAAAGATTATTAGTTCCACCATCTCTGCTTGATAAGACAGATCCAGGCAGTGTTCAAAGTAATTTTGATTATTTTATAATGGCTCAATCAAGGATTCGTACCCTTAATTGTTTCTATATGCTTGAAGTATTTAGAACTTCATTAATACGGTTACCAATACAGTTTTCTGCGTCGAATGTTAATTGTGGTACTCATTGTTTAACGGAGAATTTATGGAGAAGTAATGATGCAAGCCAATGGGTTAATCAATTAGCTAACAACACTCAACCATTGATTGATTTGAGTAATGGAGAATCATTGCAGTCTATTATTGGTGACTTAAACAATCACCACTATGATACGAAAATGTCGTTCTATGGCTTGTTATCATTATTGATGTATATACACGAACAAATTCATGAAGAAGTATTGAAGAATAAACTGTTCAATTCTACTTTATGGAGATTAAACTCAAGACCACGGTTGGAATCTCTTATTAAGTCGTGGGAGTCAATTTTTGTTAAAAACGGTGGGATCCTAGTTGTTAACAACAATAATAATCATTTGCTAAATGCCCATAATGAATTCAAAATTATTTTACCACTTTATTCACTTGCAAAAATTAAAATAAATATGAGCTTGACTCCAATAATGGAAAGGGTATTGTACAAAGATTGGAATGGTATGAATGAAGCCATTTTCTCATTTGATAACGATAGAGACGCATTGAAAGAATGTGTCATGCACTCTATCGAAATCTTATCGTTATGGACTCACAATGTTGCCATAGTTGACGATTCAAAACGTACGTCTTTAAGAACGCCAGTATTTTTTGTCACATGTGTATTTGCATCAATAATGATTATTTCTCATTACTTGTATTCTATGGAAGAATCAAAGGCTCAAAGTTTAAGTCCATCAGACAAGAGTGCCTGGATAAAATGTGAAAATGCATTACAGGCGGCTGAAAAGGTGTTACCTCCTGTCGGTAATACTAAGAACTATTCTGAGTTCTTAAAAAAGCAATTTGGTGGAGTGTCACTGCCTGAAATTAATACTACAAAGAAATTGATATCATCAAATTCTGACGAAAGCTCAATCATTACATCAATTAAGAAGACCAACTTATCCGTTAAAAGTTTATATTTGGGCTTGCATATGTTGGCAGATACATCCATTTGGCCCTTGGCAATGGGATTTGCTGAAGCACTTAAAAATAGAGCGACATATATCACAAATCGTAAATAGATTGATATAATTTGCATAATTATTTATTATACTATAATGTTTTGTAGTCACGAGCGCTACTATCAAATAAAAAAATTTAAAAAAAAAAAAAATTTAAAAAGAAATTGCAAATATCTATTCAATAATATATCTAAGTAGTCGGATATTTTCAAGTGATCAAAGTGACTTTCTTCAAAACTTATATTACAGGAGCTTTGAAAAAGATCTCTTCTGGAGCCAAAAAGTATAAAATTGGAAATATGACTGTGGAAACTAAGATGAAAGGTCGTCAATTATATGATGCAATCGGCCAGCCTAAGACAATTGTAGCACCAATGGTTGACCAATCTGAATTAGCATGGAGAATATTATCAAGAAGGTACGGTGCTGATTTATGTTACACTCCAATGTTTCATGCACGTTTATTTGCAAATGAAGAAAAATACCGTAATAACATGTGGTCAGAACTAGATGGAGACAAAGAGAAGGATAGACCTTTGATAGTTCAGTTTTGTGCCAATGATCCGGATTATTTGTTGAAAGCAGCTAAATTTGTAGAAGATAAATGTGATGCGGTTGACTTGAATTTGGGGTGTCCCCAGGGGATCGCCAAAAAGGGGAACTATGGGGCTTTTTTAATGGACGATTGGGATTTGGTTTATAAATTGATAAAGAACTTACATGATAACTTGAAGTGTCCTGTTACTGCGAAAATAAGAGTTTATGACGACTGGGAAAAATCGTTGGAATATGCCAAACTTGTCTTAAGTGCGGGGGCACAATTCATCACAATCCATGGAAGAACTAGAGATATGAAAGGTCAGGCAACTGGCTTAGCAAATTGGGAAATATTGAGGTATTTAAGAGATAACTTACCTAAGGATCAGGTTTTTTTTGCTAATGGTAATGTATTATATCCATCTGATCTTGAAAGGTGTACTGAAGCTGTTAATTGTGATGCTGTTATGTCAGCCGAAGGTAACTTGTACAACCCGGGAGTTTTCTGGACAAAATCAGATGACATAGATAAACAATTTGCTAGGGTTGACAAGATGTTAAGGGAATACTTTGAGATTGTTAAAAGCTGTCCTGGCGAAGCATCTAGACATTCGATGAAAGCTCATTTTTTTAAATTATTGCATGCATTTTTATGTGAACACACAGAATTAAGACCGGTTATTGGAAGAACAAGTGTTCATGCTAGCTTTGACGACTGGGAAGTTATTGTAGTTAAGGTCGAAGAAATTGTCGCCAAAATATACGAGCAACCGAATATTGACGAGCTTGACAAAATCACGGTGGGAGAAATTCAGAGCTGGGGTGGAGCATATAAAACCATTCCTTATTGGAGATGCCAGCCATATTTCAGAAAAGTTAATGGTGAGAAGCAAAATACAAGGGTATTAAAAGTCGCTGCGGATAAAAACCAAAAGAATGTTGTTGAACAGGCCCCAAAAGAAATCCCTGGTAAAAGAAAGGCTGAGAGCGAACTACAAGTCGATGACAGAAAGAGGATAGACACAACTGCATAACAAACCGTATATATAAGTCATATAAATTGTATAATAAGTATTTAACATATCTTATAATACATATACTGCATACAATAAACACATAGAAAATGCTCTCTTCGTTATTTGATCTAAACCATATATTCTTCCTTTAATCTTCATAATTTTTCTTCGTAACTTTTTGATTGTTTTATTTCTAGTAATAGTCTGGAATATAAGTAACTGGATACTTCTGACTTCAAGCAAAATGTCTCAATTAATTCCTGCTGTTAGAGTTGCTGCTACTATTAAACCGGCCAAAGGTGCAATTATCTTTGTCCACGGATTAGGTGATAGTGGTGCTGGATGGTCATGGTTTCCACAATTGGCCAAACAAAGTAGTATTATTAAAAACTGTGATTCTATTAACTATGTGTTCCCAAATGCTCCTCTGATGCCAATTACAGCAAATGGGGGATATGTTATGCCAGGGTGGTTTGATATTTATGAATTCGGTAACCCGGATGCCAAACAAGATGTCGATGGTTTTTATAAGAGTTGTGAAACTTTGAAAAATCTCATTAAGGAACAGGTTGAAACCCACAATATACCAGCAGACAATATTATAATAGGTGGATTTTCGCAAGGAGCAGCAGTTTCTTTAGCCACCGTTGCGTTGTTGGATTTCAAGATTGGAGGAGTAGTAGCTTTGTCCGGTTTCGCTCCACTTAAAGATAGCATTTCTCAAAAAATGACCAAAGCTAACTTAGAAACCCCAATATTCCAAGGTCATGGTACTGCTGACCCTATTATTAACTATAACTATGGTAAACAAACTAGTGAACTATTCCAAAAGTTAGGATTTTCAAAGCTTAAATTTCACACATATCCAGGAGTTGCACACAGTGCAAGTGAAGAAGAATTGGCAGAGGCCATGAAATTTATTGACGATGTACTCAATAAATAGATATAAAGAGCCCCTATAGAGAATAGATTTATACTTCTTTTTTTTGTTTTACTTTGACTACAAAAAAACAGGACCTTGTTTATAAATCATTAGAGCATCATATATCGTTATATAGTATATATAGATTATATTAACAGTCCATGTAATTAGGCTGAACAATTGTTCACAAGTGCTTGGTCTACTACGAATGCAAAAAGGCTATATGGTCAATTTTGTGCGACAATCAACACGTAGTATTTCTCCAGTTCAAATATATTTCTACAGTTATCGGATTCGAATATAACCTAGGAGAGAGAGATGGATCCTGGTAAAAAACTGAACGGTATCTTGAAAGTGATTCCTTCTTTTGGTTTTAAAAAAACGGATATGTCTCAATTATCATCGAAAGACAAGAGATATGTTCAACAGGTTGAAAAAGCACTCGCATCGTTCGATTCACTTGAAGAATGGGCAGACTACATTGCATTCTTATCTAGGTTACAGAAGTCGTTACAATTGAGTGACGACAATAAGGCGACTCATACATTGCCAGGGATTGTCTATTCCCATCAAATAGCGAACAAATTATCGCTTTGTTTGTCTTCAAAATTGCCAAATGGAGTGCATCAAAAAGCATTGAGCTTATACGAAGATATTTTTCGTGCCCTCTCTACAAAAGCATTGAACGAAGAACTATCTATATGGCTACCAGGGTTGTTACCTGTATTATCGTTTTGTTCGCTTCAGATTAAGCCACAATTATTGAAGTTATATAAAGAGCATATATTGGCAAATGTTTCAACAAGTAACTTACGAATAGTATGTAAGCCGTTGATATTGAGTTTACTACCTGGACTTGATGATGAGAATTCAGAATTATTTACCGATGTTTTGGACTTGATGGATTTATTGAAAAAGAAACTCAACAATGATTCTCATTTCTGGCAAAGCATGTTTTTATCAATTATCAGTAATCCCGAAAAAAGACTTGGGGCTCTTTGCTGGTGTAATAAGAGGTTGCCAGTATTTCAGTCAATTGTGTCAGAAGATAATACAACAAAATTTTCCGATGAAGCACAAGCCTGCCTTACTCCAGATTCTGGTCTTCTTATCAGGGCATTTGCTACATCTATTAACTCAGTAACGAATTTCAATCCTGCTAGTGATATTATAGTTATTCGTGGATTTTTTGATTTGCTTTTAACCCATTTGCCTCTTAACAGCAAAGTTTTACATGAAATGATTTTTAATAAAGATAAGGAAATGTTGATGATGGCCTGTTGTAGAGTGACATTAAGAAAGGATATGAGTTTGAACAGACGGCTATGGAATTGGCTCTTGGGGCCTGAAAATGAACATCATAATACTGATATGCCAAACGAATTATCTCGTGCTAAATATTTTCAAGATTATGGCTTGGAATCCTTAACATCTGGACTACTTAAGATCATTGAAGGTTCAAAATACAGTAGTAATCAAAAAGTTGATGCTATAAGAATTTCGTTATCTTTGATAATGGATAAATGGGAAATATGTCACACGGTTACTGATAAACTATTTTTGCCAATTATGAAAACATGTTTTCAAGAATGTTGTCGTCAGCAAAATAAGAATGAATCAAATATAATATTAAATTCTACGCAGACATTTTTTGATGGTGTAGAAGCTTCTTATATTTGGAAGAATCTCATATCTTTGATGCTAGATGGGTATAATGAAAAACCCGATCTTATTCATTTCATTTTGAATAATTTTGACTTCAATGAAGAGGAAATGGTAACAACGCATGTACCAATTGCAATTTTGGTTCTACTTAGAAGTGGAATTTATAGTTTGAAGTGGCTCGATGTCCTTGAAAACCTTGTTACTTTAATCCCTCAAAGAACGTTCACTTCAATTGTTGAAGATGATCACTTAAAGAACTATTCAAAAGATGAAATCATGTCCTTAGTAATAGATTATTACAATGCATTAACCAACGATGAGTCTACGAAATTTCCTATTCCACTGTCTGCATTTTCGTCTTTGATAATAAATTCACTTGAAGAATTATATATAAAGAATTTGGACAATCCAGAATGTTCATTGCGGTTGTGTTCTTTATTTTGTGAAATTTTATATGCAATTCCTAATGATAATAAAGATATTGCTTGGTCAAATAAGCCAATCGTGAAAAAGATGCTTGAACAACAGGTGACGAATGAGCAGACAAGTCAAGCAGACAAGCAAAAAAATTTACTAATTGCATTCAGTTTGACCAAAATGCTCAATCACATATCCGATAATTTATCTCCAATTGAAAAGGCTAAATTACTCAAGATAATTTTATCTAATTTGTGGACATCGTTAGTATCACCATATCCGGCGAATTATCAGGTCGAGACTGTGAAATGTATTTTTGATCTCGAAATAAGTTGCCCAAATTATCACATAACTGCAGGTATTTTGAGGCTTCTATTGCAATCTCCTATTAATGAACGAGTACGAGCATTTTCCGTTTTATGGATTCATTCTAATTCGTTCAACGACTCAAACGCAGTATTAGCGAGACCCTTGCAATTATTGTTAGATGATATTCAAGATGAGGATAATGAAAACTCGATGTCAGTTATCAATTTTATTGCGTATGTGTTTAAGAGTGGCTCGGGTAATAGATTATTAAAATTAGTCACTAGTCCTTTATTAAGTTTTGAATTCATGAATGTTGATACAAAAGAGTTGGGTTGTGAAGATGATTTGGCTCAGTTTGCGTACCATTTAAATACAATTTTGAATCTAATCAGGACTAATGGTAAGCCAGTGAAGGATGCATTCAATACCGAATTAGCTGTGATGGATAATAGTGCTAAACTAAAAATCATTAAATCAAATGATTGGGATATATCTACTTATAAATCCTTAATATTTTATGTGATTGAGAAGTTCTTTAGTTTGAAGCTTAGTAAAGATATTAGAAACGATGCTGCTACAGTGAGCAGTTATTTCAAGAATATAAATATCAGTCTTCAATTGCTTTCTAATCTAGTTACTGGGAATGAACCAGATTTTGCCAGCAAATTCCATATGCTTATAGAGACGTGTTCTTATTACACGAACCTTTCGGATAAGAAGTTATATGAAAGCGAATTGATTGAGAATAAATTTTTGAAGTGCATTCTCCATTTTTTGAAGATAGCACAGGACTTGAAGATAAATCTAAATTTGCTTCACATTGAGGATGAAGGGAAAGATCCATTGATTGTAAGATTCATAATTCAAGGAATTGAAAAATCGCAGACTTCCCTTTTATTAGAGAGCTGGATGTCCCTTTTAACAAGATCATTATATTTGTTTAATGAGTCTGTGTTTAGTGTAATACTTACTTTGAACGATGCTATTATTAAGAAGATTGATTCATATTTCAAAACAATCAAGAGCTATGATCACTTTGATCAACTATCCGATATCGAAGCATCAATAGGTGTTCTAATTTCAGGCCTAGAAGATTTACTTTCTATTAGTCACAGCTATTTGTTGACCTCTAATATGAGGGCAAATAATGATAAGATTAATAGTAACAGTGATTCAGGATTTTTTGGAAATGTCATACAAGGCGTTTTTCAATTGGAATCCCCTGCTTTCCGTTCTACGGAACAAAACAAGCTTTACTCCATTTTATTATCATTTCAAGATGCCTCAAAACTATCCTTCCTGATTTGGGTTTGGGCAGATAGAAAGCCCCAGATAAATACAGATGCAGTTGCAGAAAAATCTTTAACATATTTGGCTCATAAGCTAAAATTTAAGACAAGAAAATTCCTAGAAACTTTAGTGGAATTGGAAAGACAGGAAGTAATAGAGACATTAATTAAGTATGACAATGCATCATCTGCAACCATAAAATTATTACATGTTCTAGATGGTGGTAGACCGCAAGTTTCTTTACCACATATATGGAACTCTATCATTTCGAGATGCCACGCTTCAGTTTTAGAAGAGTCTCAGGTATCTTCATTAACAACGAATATTTCAGCCAAAGAGTTATCTAGGTTTTTGGTGGACTATGTGGAAACAATTGATAATGACTCTATATCTGATATCTGGAATCCAACTATTCTATTCTTCAGAGAAGTAATATCATATTCTGCACATTTTAGTGAAGTCTTATCTGATTTTTTAAAAGTTATTAAAACCTTGTCACTAAAACTTAATTCATCAAAATTTGGAGAACAGAAGAAGAACAAGAAAGAATTGGCTGACCTATTCCTCAAATTATTGACTACTTCTGTGAGCTCAAAGAATAAGGGGTTTTCAGCAATAGAAACAAGCCAGAATGATGAGGAAGACAAGACGAATGAAGGTTCAGCACCCGCTGAACACCCCCTTGCATCCGAAGATGAACTATTTGATGCACTTTCTGCTATCCTTGAATACTTAGATGACATTATGCAAGATTCAGATAGAGCGTCTTCTTGTATCAACACCATTATTGCTAATTTAGTATCGCCGCAAATCAAACCCAAACGTATTCATGAAATTCCGTCGAAAACCTTAGCTTTAATGGAATTAATTGGTAAATACCACCCAAATAAGTCCTGGAAGTCATTAATTTCGGATTCTTTTATGGATAACAGCTTCTTTAATGTAAGTGAAACTAGATTGAATCAATGGAAGCCAATAATCAGCAGTTGGATTTCGTGTGAGAGGGATAAAATAGGGGATCTAGTAATGAAGATTACCCCTTCAGTGCTGTCTACGTCAAGTAATATTTTTGTGTGGAATGAAAATTCAGAAGTTGAAAGTAAACGGTACGTCATACGGAGAATAAGCTTTTTGATAATTTGTCAACCTGATGATTACTTCTTACCTAATTTAGATGATATATTCGGCAGAATTACGTATTCTTTGGATACATTATGCCCTGTTTCGTATAGAACAGAGATAACAAGGTTGATTCGAGTTTTAGTTCTCAAGTTCAGTGAGTTGCATTTACTCCCACATTGGATTACCATAAATCATGAGTTGATAAATATCTTCGAATTCCTTAAGGAAAAGCCACTAAAAGAATTAATATCCTTGACATTCGAAGAAGTGAATCTTATCCTAAGTGGATGCAAGTTGTTGGACCAACTATTATTATTAAAATATGATGAGTTCAATTTAAACGAATGGCTTTTTATTTCATCAAACGCAGATGTTGCTGACAGTGGAGCCAAAACTTCTCTATTTGCAATTATTGACAAAATTGCGACTGAAAATGATGTAGCGTTATCCAAAGAAGCTACAATCAGGATTGAGCAGCCTAATGAGGAAATGATTCCTTTACTTTACGGTGTGAAGAATATCAAATCGATTTCTAGCCTAAGATCTTTCTTTGACTCATTAAGTCTTATAAATTACGAAAGAACGTATAATTTATTCGAAGTTAACATTAATGCTTGTATAGAAGATGCCATCAATGATCTAATTGTTTGAACGGGTAATCATAAATATGCCTTAATTAGAGTATATAATAGACTAATCAAAATATGACTGCAGATTGTGTTTTACTATTTCGCGTTTAACATCAAATATCTAAACAATCGTAAATATTATTGAAAATTATTGACTGATATTGTTACATGAATGCTCCCATAGTAGCGTTATAATGTCTGCAACTTTAAGGTCGTTTGATTTGGACAGTGATTCAATTGCTTTTCAAAAAATAAGGAGTCCAAAATTGAGGAGTTTAGACAAGCGCGATCATATTGATTCTGGTTTTAATGGGAATGGGCAGTTTGAAGATGACATAGAATTTGATGATACACGTATGGAAATCGATGATATGAAACCAAATCATTCTTTTAACAACGAGAATATATCTAATAATAGACAGAGTGGACAAGATAGCTTTCATCAGCGTGATTATGTGATACGGGACACGACGACCAAGGTTCCGTTGAAAGATAGTCCCCACACATCAAACGTAAATCGGATCACAAATAAAGCATCTACTCCTGATACGCTTGATAGAATCAATAGATATCGTTCAAAAAATGGGACTCCATTGAAATTACCTCCTTTGACCTCGAACCAGTTTTCTGACAGTGATAACGAGAACCCATCTCTACGGATTGAAGAAAAAGCAGAAGATAGTCTTATAAAACACAGAAAACTCATATCTGACGACAATAAATTCTCACCTGGAAGCACACGGATATCATTAAGAAAGGCAGGACGTGATACGACAAATGAACATAGCATTGTGAGTCCCACGAAATCGATGAATAGATCAACAAATGAAGCAATTATTACTCCACCTTCTAATTTGAAGGTACGGCCGTTCATTTTTGGATCTACATCCAAAAAGCTGCCCTCTACTTCGTTTTCTAGAAAGGCCCTGCCAGAACAGTTTAGAAACACCCAGGTTTCTGGCAATAGAAATGACGCAGATATTGAATTTGATTCTTCTGACGTTGATGGTGAAGAAGAGAATCATGGAGCAACAAGAGGAAAGCTTTTATCTAGTACGTCAAGATTCAATGCTTCAATTTCAAATCAGATATCAAAGCCCTCTGGTGTAGCCCAAAATATTCAAATAAACAACCATGACAAAGAACGAAGCATTGAATTGAGAGAAAAATTAGCACATGAGCAATACATACCGCAGGTGAGTCCCACAATCGGAAGCAAATATGAAGACGTTGGAGATACCGGTGATAGGGAGGCTGATCAGAAAGAGAAATATGGTGATATTTCCAGAGCCGAAATTTTGGAAAAAATTAATAGCACAATAAATTCGTTGATGGAAAAGGATAAATTTGCAAGCTCTCCTTCTAAAGCAAATCAGGAGGATGTTTTGCCTCAGAATATCGAAAAAGAAATAGTTGATGCTGAGTCGTCAGATGAAGGACCTGAAGAAATAATCAATGAATTAGACTCATTTTTTTCAGGGAATAAATCTAATATAGGAAATCAGAGAGCTTCATCCTTCAACCATAGATCACCTTCAAAAATTTTCTCAGAGAAAACTGAAACTAATTCATTAAACCAACCTTCCAAATCAACTCCAATACGAACTCATTATTCAAGGTTATCAGGTAAATACGCTAGGCAGATATTGCATAGAAGAAAAAGCGAAAACGTTTCAGCTATAGAAAATCCGGATCCAGCTATTTTGGAAGATTCAAATGATACCTCTCTGAATCCAGAATGGCCAACAAGTAAGTGGTTGAAGCTAAACAAGGTATTACAACTGGGAAAAATAGCTAAAACAGACATCATTAATAGCGAAGTATTAATTCAAAAATTAGGATGTTCTTCGAGGCATGAATTAAAACAGAGGGTGGAGTTTTTAATTCAGTTCAATGATTCTAAAAAAGTTAGAAAGCCAAAAAGAAGAGTGGTTAGTAGTACGAAGAAAAATAATATTGGCTCGAAATCTTCCAAGTCTGAAAAGAGATTTCAAATTATATAGATTGTAAATTTAGTGTTATATTAATGTATTATTATGTATATCGAAAAGTAATTACTCCTGTAACTAAAAAACTTTAGACAAGACGTCATTCAATTTCTCATTTGGTTTAGATTTATACTTTAACTCGTCATCTGCGTCAGCTCTAGTACTTGCTAATTTACGTTGTTTTAAATTCCGCCTAATATCAGATTCTTCATTATTTGTATTGTCGGCACCCAGCTCTGCTTGTCTTGCCTTACGTTTATTTTGCATATTGTTGATCATTTTCGACCTTTCCACATTGTTAATGAAACTCTTGTTCAACTTTTGCTGTTGGGATAATTCCATTGATAACTTAGCTTGTCTGATTTCATTCTCCTTAGCTATTTGTTGTGTTAAGTCGAACCACTTGAATCCAGAAAGATATTTTATATTTATTATATCATCATAGTAATATGAAGTCTTCTTGCCTCCAAGTTTATTACCGTTCAATGTTGCAGCACATAACTTTGCGTCTTTTTTATTGATGAACTCTACCCATCCAGCAGTATAATTTTTCTTTTTATTTCCCCCATATTTGACTCTCTTTGCGTATGTGGTATTATCCTCTGGCTTCAAAAATAAACGATCGATTTTTCCAAATCTTGATAATACAGAACGTAATTTTGCTGGTTTCATATATGGTGGAATTTTAGACAAGTAGCATACCCCTGTTTTCTTGATCTTCTTCTGCTCCTTAGCAAGCTGTTCTGGTGTCAATTTCTCTAAGCTTATATTCTTAGTCATTTTTCCACTACCAAGCAACTCGTCTTCGTCTAGTATATCAGCATTTGCCGATAATTCTTCTTCTTCTTCGTCATTGAAATCTTCTTCGTCTTCACTTTCTTCATTTTTAAAATTATCTACATGACTAGCCTTTTTCAGAACATTAAATACCTTGCCTTCTTCTTCTTCGTCTTCATCATCATCAAAATCATCCAAATCACTTTCATTTTGGATCACCCGACTCTTGGAATTTGTGATTTTTGAGTGTTCTGTGTCACTCAAGTCATCTCCAGAGTTGGAATCCAGATCTTTTATGCCAAAAGATGAACCGATTATATCCTTCTTCGCTCCTTTCTTATTAGGACCCATGATTGTTACGTATATAATGCCTATAAGTACTAATCTATCATACAATTTGAGATGAGCTTCAAAAAAATTAACTATGGTCGTGTTTGTACCGAAATATTCAAATGCCCTGATAGTATGGGAAGATAGAGTAGATAAGGTACACATAAGATAGACAGGCATGGGTTCTACGACGAAAAATGCCATGTAATTGAACAGCCCAAGTCAATTGAAGAAGCAGACTTTAAATTTTATAAGTTGTCTGCTTAGAAGTTCGATCAAGACATAACATAGATTCAGCTTTGCAATAACTCCATACTCCAGACTTCAGACGCTAGACCCCAACTACACACGTATAAAACATCTTAGAAACTACAAGTTGACTATTAAGCAAAGCATAATTTTTATTAATAAATCAAACTATTAAATATATAGAATTGAAACAAGTAAATTAACACCTAGTCAATCTATTTCTTGGTGACATCATCAGCAGCCTTCTTAGCACCTTCAGCACCACCAGTTACAACACCAGAAATGTATTCAGCAGCGTTGGCAGCTTGTTCCTTAGCAGCTTCAACGTATTCACCAACGGTGTCAGCTAAAGTGGCTTGGTCCTTGTTGACAGCTTCCTTAGCATCGTCGTGACCAGCTTGAACCTTGTCAGAGACGGTTTGACCAAAAGACTTTTGGTTGTCTGGGGTGTTCTTACCAGCAAATTCATCAACCTTGTCAGTGACGGTTTCCTTGGTCTTTTCTAAAGTGCTCTTTTGAGATTCTGGAGTAACAGCTTCAGAAATCTTGTCGGAAACGTTCTTTCTACCTAAGTCAGACATTTTGATATTATTATGTTATTAGTGGTTCTCTATTAAATTAAACACTTAATGTTAATAATTAAGAATTTCGAATTGGTTATTTCAACACGTATTTCCCCATATTTATAAACCTCAATTCATTGCCGAACACATACGTCCAACGACTAATATTGCTATCGAATATTCTGGATACATATGGCTCTCTGCCAGCTATACACCACTTTTGTCGCGGCATCTGTCACCTTATCACAATAGAATTCCCTAATTAGGTCAGGTTCCATGTGTACTTGATCATGTTTCTTTTGGTTCACGGGTTTTCTTAGATTGCTATGAGATTGCGGCACGGCCACAATTCGCTGTATTAAGGCCAAATGCTACTTTTGATCCGTAAATACGTCATATTGCAACCCGAGATTCTGAAATGTTGTTTATTTTTTGTTCTGGTAGACTTCCATCGGTTTCTCTGTCCTATTTATCGAATATATCGAATACAGATCAATGCATACCTTAGACATTGGTCATACTACAGAAAGATGTTCCGGTGGGGAAGCCGTGATGGACTTTTTTCCATCGATCATGAGAATGTGCACGTGACTTATGGCGATGGTATGAAATTTTTTTGTTTGTAGTGATGATATCTATAGATAGATACGAGGAGTTTATGGACTACAAACATGGTTAAAAAGAAGAGTGTCAGTCAAAGTTTGGATCAGAAGATATATGACCTTATCCATTCATTGCTTGAGGAAGAAACAACCGAGAACAAGAAAAAATGTGGTGAAGATGAGAGCGATCCGTTCGAGTATATAGCCTTAGCTCGAGACTTGAGAACAGGACAAGTACTTGAGTATGTACAATTAAAAGACTTCCAGATGAGGCGGATGAAGCGGGCGTCGTTGGAGAAGTCCATTGATGCGGTTTTGCAGGAGGTGAGGAATGACGAAGCCGAAGAGTTGGCGGATATTATCAAGCAGAAGGATGCGAAAGCATTGGCCGAAGCTGCGAATGCTGATAGTGATTTTGATAACGTAGATGATGCGAACTTGATGGAGGTGAAGGATACCAATTCGTTTAACAAATCAGTAGTATCATTATGGCAAACACAGTCCAAAGAGGCGACCAGTGAGCCACAAACGGGTGACAAGCCTAGTGAAGAAGCACAAGCAGACGACAAAAAGCAGAAGAAACGGACAAAGGATTCATCAAAACAGTCCTTGAAGAGACAGAAGAGTAAAATAGACCACACACCTCCTACCTCGAAATTGTCGTCTTTGGGTGGGCTTGAAAGCATCACCACTCAATTGATGGAGTTAATAGGGTTACCGATCTTACATCCGGAAATATATTTGTCTACAGGTGTAGAGGCACCTCGTGGTGTGTTATTATATGGCCCACCAGGTTGCGGAAAGACGACAATTGCAAATGCATTGGCAGGAGAATTACAAGTGCCGTTTTTGAACATATCTGCTCCTTCCGTAGTTTCGGGTATGTCTGGTGAGTCGGAAAAGAAGCTTCGTGAAATATTCGATGAAGCAAAAACATTGGCACCTTGTATTATATTCATGGACGAAATAGATGCAATAACTCCAAAAAGAGATGGTGGTGCACAAAGGGAAATGGAAAGAAGAATCGTAGCCCAATTATTAACTTTAATGGACGAATTAACATTGGATAAAACCGATGGTAAGCCTGTTGTTGTTATAGGTGCTACTAATAGACCTGATTCCTTAGATGCTGCCTTAAGAAGGGCGGGTAGATTTGATAGAGAAATATGTTTAAATGTTCCAAATGAGGATCAAAGATGCTCCATTTTGTCTACAATGACAAAGAACTTAAAGTTGCAAGAAGGTGAACATTTTAATTTTAGAGAGTTGGCTAAAATGACACCTGGTTATGTTGGAGCTGATTTGAAAAGTTTAGTTACTGCTGCAGGTATCACTGCCATAAAGAGAATCTTTGAAAGTTTAAGTGAACAAGAAGAGGAAATGCTTTTGCAAGAAGTTGAATCAATTGATATAGATCCAATGGATGTTGATAATAATGGAAATGATGAAGCTAAGAGTAATATCCAAGATGGTGCATTGAGCCCTAACAATGCATTTGTAGCTAAATTCGAAAATAAGTCTGATCTTGAAAAATTATCTACTATCCAAAGATTCTTAGTCAAGCACCCAAACCCTTTAAGTGCCGAGCAATTAGCCCCATTATGTATAAACTATTCTGATTTCTTGAATGCTATTCCAACAATACAACCGACTGCCAAAAGAGAAGGTTTTGCTACCGTTCCCGATGTTACCTGGCAACATGTTGGTGCATTGGCCCATATCAGAATGGAGTTACATATGTGTATTGTGCAGCCAATTAAAAAGCCAGAATTGTATTTGAAGGTTGGTATAAGCGCACCGTCTGGTGTATTATTGTGGGGTCCACCAGGTTGTGGTAAAACATTATTGGCCAAGGCCGTAGCTAACGAATCCCGTGCAAATTTTATCTCTATTAAGGGACCTGAATTATTAAACAAATATGTTGGTGAATCTGAAAGAGCTGTGAGGCAAGTTTTCCAAAGGGCTAAAGCATCTGTGCCATGTATCATCTTCTTTGATGAGTTGGATGCGTTGGTTCCTAAGAGAGATACTTCATTATCCGAATCTAGTTCCCGTGTTGTCAATACTTTATTGACTGAATTGGATGGTTTAAATGATAGAAAGGGTGTCTTTGTGATTGGTGCTACAAACAGACCAGATATGATCGATCCTGCTATGTTGAGACCAGGAAGATTAGACAAAACATTATATATTGAATTGCCTACAAATGATGAAAGATTCGAAATTTTGAAGACCTTAGTGAATGCCAACAATACTCCATTACACAAGGATGTTGATTTAAGAGCAGTTGCTGACGATGAAAAATGCAGAAATTTCTCCGGTGCTGATTTGTCATCGTTAGTAAGAGAAGCTGGTGTGTTAGCATTGAAAAAGAAATTCTTTCAGGGTCAACAAATAAAGGAATTAGATTCCTCAGGATTCTATGAGTCTACAGAGGGTAACGATGATGATGATATTGTAGTAACTAATGATGATTTTAAGAGAGCATTATCTAGCATTAATCCAAGTGTGAGTGATAAAGACAGATTAAAGTATGAAAGATTGAATAGGAGAATGGGGTGGAATGTAATAAGTGACACCAAAGATGAATCTGAAACAAATAAGGAGAATGGTACTTCAGATGTCGCTTAATTGTATAATAATATATGTATAGATGCAGCTTATTTATAGAATGCATACTTAATTCAACTATATGGATGTTCCAGAAAAATGCGAAACCTTGTAGTATTTAGCCGGTTGCATATTATGAAATAATCTTGTAACAATTTATGTCACACATTGATAAGTTGACCTATTATAAAAGGTGAGCATATGGCAAAGATGTCTGGAATGCCTAGCTACTACTTATAATCATGAATTTCATTATATTAATTTCAATTCTAGCATTTTTTAAAATAGCTTTTTCGCATCCTACCAGATCACTTGAAACATATTCTGTGGGGGAACAAGATTTGTTCAGTCCGATAACTGAACGAGACTCAGAAAGCAATAATGGCGGTACTATTTCATTATCTTTAAACAAGGTACAGACAGGTGTGTATGTGACTACTATAACTGTTGGAACTCCTCCCCAGTCGGTATTAGTTACTTTTGACACAGGTACATCGGATACATGGGTAAGGTTATTCAATTCAACCGATTGTAGAAATTCAGATGAGCCATGTTATATAACGGAGAAGATATTTTTTGATTCTCCTAAGTCCACGTCCTTCAAATCTTTGGATAGTGGCTTTAGCATGATATATGGTGCTGGAGAGATTAATGGAACTTGGGCTAAGGATAATTTTCAAATCGGTGGTATTGACATCAAATCGTTTCAGTTTGGTGCTGGAGATGAATCTAGAGACTTGCCTATGATATATGGTCTAGTTGGGCTAGGCTTAAAAAATTTTGAAAGCACTTATACTTTCGAATATGGAATCAAATTTAAAGTCAAAAATACTTACTATAATACGGGGAAACGTTATGTTTATGATAATTTTCCTGCAAGACTCAAGAAAGACGGGAGTATCAAAAAGAATTGCTACTCAGTGTATTATCCGAATAGTGGAAATAGCAACAGCGGAATCATATTTGGTGGTGTGGATACTGCAAAATATGATTCGCTCATCACGGTGCCTATTATTCAGAAGGCTGTTGGAGACTGGTCTGACTATAATGAAGCATCTATGTTAGCAGTTGATTTGGGTCAAGTATATGTGACATATGGCAATTATAAGCAACCTATTCTCGGGAAAAACTATCCAACATTGATTGATACACTTACATACTTGACTGTAGCCCCTGCTGCCGTTGTTGAAAACCTAGCAACTCTACTAGGTGGAAAATATTATGCAGACATATACGGAATAGTTTACAATTGCAACAATGATATCAAATTAGGATTTGAATTTAGTGGAAGTACTGTGTTTGCGCCGGCTGTCAAACTCTCCGACAAATCAGGTATTTCTTGCATTTTCCCTATCACGACGAATGAAGATGATTATATGATCCTAGGAGGAAAGTTTCTAACTCAGTTTTATACTTTCTTTGATATTGATGATCTCCAGATTTCTATTGGAAACTACAAAGAATCCAACAAAAAAACGGTACAGGCTATTGATGTAAACGAAAAAGCACCGAACACAAAGAAAGTAAAAAACTATTCCAGTACATTCAACTATTCTAAATCTGATAAGATTTCGGTCAATTATACAAGTGCCATTTATAAGAAAGGAGGTCATGGAAGTGCATCATTCTTCAATAATTTGTGGAATTCCAGCATGTATGCTTTGAGTCAAGCTTGGGCTTATTTAAGAAATTGGTTCAATAACAAATTTTCGTGATATTGTCCATAATTCAGTATTTGTACAAATATTTTCATTCTTCACTTAAAGAATCAAGTTACGTTATTCAACACCTATGTTACCATAACTGTATGACACAAACATTAACTATTAAATAGATATATTAGTTATCAAATTGTGAAATTATCAATACTGTAAACCAATAATGTAAGTCTATTAATTGCTGCAAAATTAAGTCGCGCATTAATAGGTTCTTCTAAGTTGTCTTGTTACTACTGATTGATTATGGTACTAGCAATTATCACATTTAGAGATGTAGAATCATATAATCTTAACGAAGAATTAGAATTGATGAAATTTTATTAGGCTAAATTTTGGCCAAAAATTGGTAATTGGTGTATTGTGTAGGTACTTTATGAAATGAGAGTCAATTCATAGACTCAAATGCAGCGATAGCCAAGCATCAGAGGTAAGTGAAAACAGTAAATATAAAACGTCCAAATTTATATATTACACGTATTAGCCTTCTATATTATCCTTATTAATAATCAGACATTAGGCCAATATTGAATAAGTCTTTCATAGTAGAATTTCGCTGACGATATTTGCAAATTTGAAAAACCTTTACGGATTATAGTATTCCTTCGTAAGCGTTGCTATCAGAGATAAGTTCCATTTAAAAACCTACTCAAGTCAGAAAATTCCTAACTTTAAGTATAAAAAATGATTTTTTCAAAAAAAGGTTTTGCAACAACTTTTGTTACTCAAATCTTCAAGGTGCTTTTTTTAACTTCTCCTTGTGTATTATCTTTATTAAAAATTATGGTGAAATATACGCACAACGAAGAGCTTCAGTTTAAGCTTCCCGTCGAAGAGACTTCTGCTGATCTTAATTATGCAAAGTATTTGGATGATCCAAATAACGACGATGAATTTGATGAGCTGTTTTTACGCCATGATGCTATATCACAGAAACGAGCGGGAAGCATTCAAAGTGTTACAAATATGAATCTAGGAATCTTTGGACAGGAAGATGGAATCAGTTTATTGAATGCTTTGGAAGTTAATACTGATATAACAGCTGCCGCCTTGCTTCGAGTTCACTTATTACGGGTTTTAATGACAATTTGGCTCTTCTTTCACCTTGGACTTATACACTGGTTAGAATGTTTTCAGAACATAAGAGAGCTTATTAACCAGTTCTTTTACATGCTATGTTGTGAAGCGAAAGAACAAGCCAAAAAGCTGAAATATTCAATTAAAGCTGTTGATTATGTTGTTGAGGCTGCCAATTATCGATATTTTATTATTGAGCGGTTCCCACTCGTGTTGTGTCAGTTCCTATGCAGAAATTTAATCTGCTATAGTCCGTCTGGGTTCAAGGAATTTCAAGAATCATTTCCAGCTGTTGATAAACTGATATTTCCCCAGAGTACATGCTTATTATTGAAAATCAATGACAACTTGCTTGCACCTCCACCTGATATTCCTCAGCCGTATTTGGACAGTGAAAAAGAAGTAAAAGTACCCAGTAAAAGAGAATATCAACATGTATTATCTTTGAGAAACGAATATTTCACGCAAAAGAGAACTCATCTTGCAGCAGAGAAGGTCAGATTGTTGAGCGAGATTGGCAGATTTGTTACTTGGAACAGCTTACTTTCTTCTATAAAATTCGTCGATATATACGAGAGATTTGGGTGTATATGGGATGGACATATTCTTACAGTCGAAGAAAAATTAGAAATTTTGGGTGCTTCTATATTAAATGAATTATGTTCATTCACTAATACATGTTCAAAGGATGAATTAGACCATTTGAAAAACATAATTCCCGAAATTACTTTGTTCGATATTGCAACTGGAACAAAATATATCGTACATGGAAATATTACTGAGGATTTTGGATATGAATTGGAGTTCCCTGACAGTTTGGATAGTTCAAAACCCGAAAGGAGAGTTCTAATGGTCTACCTAAGTGACGGACGTCTGAGAAAGGAATTGATGTTGAATTACGCTCGTCATGCCATAAACAAAAAGAGCTTAGATAATGGACCCAATTTTCTTACTTATACTCCAGATTTAGTAATTGTTACGGGCAAAACGTACGAAAATCCTCTTCAAACATACGGATTTGCGTGTGCTGATGAGAACAGTTCGAGATCAAAATCGCCATTACTTTACTCAAGACACGGCAGGTTTGGGTTTAACCAATTTTCTAGGTCAATTTTTAGCTATATTTCGAATAATTCGTCTTCTTTCTCGAGTGTGGAATATCCTGAACCTGCAAGGGACACTGCAAATGAACCACGCTCTGGCAGTGCTGTTACTTCAAATAAAAGTATCTCTAGCTATGTTAATCTTCCGTCAAGTCTCTTCACAAGTCTTCTGAAACGAGTTAAAAGATTAACCCCATTTGGTTCTACTTCAAATAAAGAAGTAGCGTTGGAAGAATAGATATGTTTGTAACGAAATCGTCTACCGTTGAGTAAAATTATTTTGTGTTGTTAATTTTGATACTCCGATATCCACACGATAATAAATAATCTCTAATAAATGATCAGCTTAAATCTTAGCACTAATATCTGAATTGAACACTATAAAGTATAAATATTTGTCTATAAGCCATTTGGGTTTCAACATATAAGAATAAAGCCTATAAATTATAGCTCAGAGAGTTTCAACAACTACACAAGACATAATTACTTGCTTATCTTCCTTCGTCGTTTGACAGTTACAACCAAGAGAAGAAACTAATAATGATTAAAAATGGCATAAACATTCTTCATTTGAATAACCCAAGATTATATTTGAATTGCCACCGATCAATATCTTCGTATGTTGTATTTGGCAAGCTACACTTGAAGCACAAGGAGATCAATGTCCGTCGACGTGTCTTGAGTGATAGCAATCGTTTAAACAAACAATCAATTAGAAACAAACTGACGAACGATGGTAGTGGAAATAATACGGGCGTAGGCGATAAAGCATCATCGACAAAAGCAAGCGTTTCAGAACAGTCGGAATCAAAGCAATCTGAACCAGACAAATCTGCAAAACAAGCTCTGAAACAAACCAAATGGTTAGAATCTCAAACGATAGTACCAGAGCCAAAGAAGACTGAAAGCAATGCCACAAATTTATCTAAAAACATTGAAGATGAAAAACCAACAGAGCATGGCGCATCTAAGCCAAGTGTATCCAACGTCAAGAATCAGTTAGACCAAGATGAACCTATAGAAGAAATTGAGGACCCCGATGGAATCAATAAGGATGACTTTCTCACTACTATATTTGAGAACATGGAGCCTTATATGGATACATATAACGTTTACACGCAGCTTGTTAAGGCAGGATTCAAGCCAGATCAGGCAGATGAGATAATAAATTTGTTAATAGTACAATTAAACTCAAAGCTTTCGAAATTGTCTACTAAGTATTCACAGCTATACGAATTAGAGAATGAGAGATATCTCTTCGAAAGTGCTCAACAAGAACTTAGAGTTGATATTACCAGATCGAGGGAATCGCATATTAATGAATTAATCAACTTAATTAATATTTTGGAAAGGGATTTTAATATAATATCAGACGAATTGAACAATGAATTCATTCAAATGAAGAATGACACCCAAGTGGCGATGAATGATCAGAACTCTGAAAATACTTTACATGCTAAGAAAATACGATTGAGGATCCAGGAGACGAACCATAAAATAACCACAGAGTTGAATTCTGCAATGAGATCTGAAATTGAAAGTTTGAGGTGGCATATCTCTAGATGGGGTTTAATGGCTATATTGGTGTCAGTATTTTCGGGTTGTGCAGTATTCTACATTAATAAAGTTAAGACTATGAAACGATTACAGAACACAAATGAATTTGTTCCCTTAGTTATATATGAACCGAGCGAGTACGATGAGGATGATTATCATACTGATTTAGATGAGAGTTTAATTAGTTAGTAATTACTTATATACGTGCAATATTATTCTGTATCGTTTATAGTAGTCAGCTGATTCAGATTCATCTCGAAACTTAAAAGTACTCAAATGGCAGCAATGTGAATCGATAATTTATTCTCTTCTTAAATTATCAACACAGAGCATAATCTACAATATTCAATAGTATGACATCCTCTTCAGGAGATTCAGATCCATGCCATCCGGAAGCTTGTGCCATTCAAGATTGCATACAGAAAAATAATTATAACGAATCAAAATGTTCAAAGTTAATTGACAACTTGTACTTATGCTGCAAGAAGTACTACGAGCAGAACGGCACCGATAAACAAACAACATGCTGTCCTAAATTCAACCTCTTGCAATTAAAGCTAAAGCAAAGAGAATTAGGCAAAATCGATGCTGAAACGATCGAACTGCGTAAGGGATAAGTTGAAGTCCCCAAAATAATTTTAGGACACTTGATAGGCGTAGAGTGGAGTCCCACTATAAGTGGTCTACTTATGGTTGCGCAAACGAACTAATTCTAATCTTGAGCAATAACCCGCTTAAATTAGACTGCTGTTTTTTTACATAAAGCTTAATAATGCTCATATAACTACAATCCAATACAAAACTAGATAAATGTACGTTTAGAACCGCGTAGTCAAACTATTCTCCAGAAAATGACACGACAGAACGGGGTTGGTAAAAACGATTATTCTAAGGCTTACCCGAGCACGAAAAAATCACAGAGTGATTATAGATTATATGTGGAAGAAATTCATATAAACCGTGACTCTAATGGGCGCCTAGTAAAAGACATTGTATAAAGAAGAAAAGGAAAAAAATGTTAAAAGTATCAGACGGAAAATTCTCTTAAATGGTGTTTAGATGAGATCACGAAATGCGGGTAACCGCGAGTATCTATTCTACAAGTGTACTGGACTTATACCTATTTTATTGGAAATTACTATGTATGCAACTATCTATTCTTTCGAATTACCTTCTATTTTCTTTTTATCGTAATCATGAGCATCTGGCAAATATAATTTCAAGGCTAGAAGATGTTAGTAAGAAATGCTTTCTTGAGTACTGAATAAATGAATACATACGAGATTTGTCGTCTAGCCACAATGATTGACCACTAACGTTCTTTATTGAATTATCAGCCCGAACACTCTTTTCGAATTCTTTGACGGCCGTTTCTATATCTACAGGATCGACACCCAAATCGACCAATTGCTTCCTTAAGAAGGCTATATGTAAGCCCATTTTGAAATTTCTCTTATCCTGGTCCTTTCTTTCCTGTAAGATCTGGAGATCTCTTTTTTTCCTAGCATTTAAAAAATTGGCCTGCTGGGCTTGTAGGGTTTTGAGATTGATAGCCGTGGTTTCGATATTAAGTTTCTCTAGCTTGATTCTGTTGATATAATTGTCTATGGCAAAATACGCTAATGCACACATGGCTAAGAAGGAAGTGAAGTCTTTCATAGATCTGTGGTTTTTGGTAGCAGAATCATGAAATGGTGGAGGAACCTGGCTATTTGGAGGCGTATTTGCTGGGTTTATTGGTTGTGGTGGTGATACGGTTTCATTGTAGGTTGGAGGTGTATAGTTTGGGTTACCAAAATGCAGTGGAGGAGTACTACCGTTTACATAAAACCGACGAAACGTTAAGCCTCGACAACAGTGCTTGTTTATGACTCTAGAAAACATGCGGAATCAAGTAATGGGCGCTTGGTATCAAACAGAAAGCTTTAATACAATTCACAGTAGCATTTGCTTACAGTGGTGGATGTGGAAAAAAACTTACACAAAACCGCAGAGGAGGACTTCGAATCCAAACTACAATGTAACTAGTGATACTTAAACGTAAAATATATTAAGCATTACTTAAAGAGTAATGAAAAAAATGATGATACAGGAAATGATAGCAAGTTAACAGAAAATTACGCATGAAATCATAAAGTTTAATGTCTTCTTGATTCAGCAATGACCTTATTCATTTCTTCGATCTTTCTACCGGCTCTCTTGTGGGTACCTAATCTCTTCTTAGCCAACTTCTTAGCTCTCTTTTCACCAGCGTTTCTGATCAATTCGATCAATCTTCTTTCGTATGGAGCTAAACCGGAAACTTCCTTGACGATGTTTCTAACGAATTCAGTTCTCTTGGATAAAGCACCCTTTCTGTAAGAGACCTTTGGAGCAACTTCCTTGGCGACAACCTTGTGTCCCTTGTTTAATCCAACAGCAATACCTGTAATTTGTTAGTACTTATGTCTTTTTTTCTCATTCGGTGTTGGTCTTGTCGTCATGGTCCGTATTGTAATAAATTCATATATCCAACTCATCTCGTCTTTAAATCCATGTATATCACTCTCCTTCATCTGAAAATGAATTCAAACCATTCATATCATCATTAAATTTGATTTTATCCACCTTTCTGATTTATGTCCAGTTCGTCATCTGAATTTTTCACTTCACTACATGCTGTTCATTTGGCCACAATATTTCTTAAATACATCTGACTCATGTCTTCTTCTTTCAACACCACTAATATTAAAGGCTTGTTACATACCTGATCTAGCCATTTTATCTAATTATTTATTGACTTATAAAAGATTAATCTAAGTTAAAATTTTTTATAAAATTGTCTATTGAAAATTACAGTGAGAGAGTGAAATTTTTTCGTCGGTGGTCGCATGAAAGGGCGCAAAACCGGGCAAAAATCAATGATTACATCAGCTTGAGGCAATATTACACAAAGGTGTCCTTATGGTGCGAATTTACGGCTGACACTATATACACTCATAAGGGGATACTAGTACAACGGGGAGTATATGGAGGATATCATGTGATTATTGTGACTGCTGTTTTATATAGTGGTTCCTGGTGCAGGGATTTGGGGAGAAGGAGAGGTATTATATGGGTGTATGGATTTTATAATGGGTGCTAAATCGAGTATGATGATATACTAGATATACAAGATAGTAGACATACAAGATACGGATTACAGTGAATATACAATATATGGACTATAGTAGATATACAAGATATGGAATATAATATATTAGTGAAACGGTATTAAGTTAGTAGATATACAAGATATGGACTATAATATATTAGTGAAACGGTATTAAGTTAGTAGATATACAAGATATGGACTATAATATATTAGTGAAACGGTATTAAGTTTAGTCTATGTAGATATTAGACTACTAAGGTTACGAAAATAGTCTTGAGGGTGTTAGACTGCAGCGAGGTAATGATAACGGAATATATCTAGTTGCGTGACAAATAATACACCTACAGCTTAATGATATACAAGATTGTATTAATGACTATATACATATTATTTAACTTAGGCAGACACCTTTGAAAAATCAAAGTTATAATGGTGCAACTTATCCACGATTTCCTCAGTGGTCAAGTATGTGTGGTTCAGAAGAAATTGCTTCCAGGTGATTGGGGTCCAGGTGTCTTTGCTGGCAAATTGCCATAATTCCTCGAGTAACTTATTCTTACCAACAGTGATCTGCATGCCATCTCTGTGGACGTAGTACACCTGTTGCACATTGCCATCCTTCTCCACCTTAGGTAATTTGTTGAATTCTCGCTTCTTCATGACATCATACTTCAAGTTCCATCCCTTGAATCCCATGGTCTTGACCCTAGCCGGTTTGTCCTTGAGTAAGTAGTTGTCTAATCCTCCTTCACGCGTGATTGTTCTCAAAACAGTGGTGGACACTCTGGTAGCAATAGTTTTATTCAATGTCTCCGACCACAACTTGGCCTTGACAATATTAGGCTTGTGTGCTCTCAAGTTCTTATTTTTGGCCTCGGAACACGTTTTAGATCTCTTTCTTTGTAATCCTCCGTATAATCCTCTGTTTTGACGTTTGAAGAACATCGTTTCGTAATGATAGTTTGGATATTGCTTTCTGAATAATGGAATCTTCACCCCTTCAGCAGAATCTCCTGCCTGGTATTTAGTGTCGTCGACAGGCTTTGCATATTTGGTGATCTTGTAGTATTTTTCCATCATTGGCATCGTTTGATGCATGCTTCTTATATGGCACATTGCTCCTCCGATACTCATCATCGTGCTAGGAACACTGCGTGTCACAGGGACCAATCCCTTAAACAACCCTGTGCTTAATCGGTTCATCATTGTTCGCTTGTATCCCGTTAGTATTCCCCAGGCATGTATCGACTATAAGTCTCAATGGTTTTTGACCTGAAAAATTATATCGGCACAACACTCCCACGTACGTTCGCGCAACCTGTGCAACAACTGTGCACCAACTAAACTCAAAAAACATCCATACACCATATACTGGTAAAAAAATAGCCCCGGTAGCTCTCGGGATATCCCCGGACATCTTATCTCGCAAATCGGTTTTTCCGCGTACCGAATCGTTTAATCTTAAATCTACCTCTATTATGGCCAGGCCGCATGGCCTGGCCCACCCGCAGAGGTGTTGGCCTGCAAATATGAGTGCTACATTTCGCTTGACATAGGGGTTTTATGCTGGAATATATTTCGTTAATCCTGTATTTATTGAAATTGCTATTGAAGCATTCACAAGACCAAAAAAAGAAATCGTACACTATATTAAATATAGTCCACTAATAATGGCCCACTTTTAATAAGCATTAACTATACTACAATGATTTTTTGGCATATCTTTTAAATGTACGAAAATCTAACTGTAGAGAGTATAGACACCTTAAGTACAATTCTACATAATATATATAATGGTTATTCGTATATATATGGCAATCTCGCTTGTAGTAATAAGAAACGGACTTTGCCGTGTACTGGACAAGAATCTTATCTAAATTTTTTCGCTGATGAGGTTGATAATACATTTTATATGAAAGCTATCAAATCATAAGTCAGAATAGACACTAAGCGTTGGTAAATATCTAGTAATAGACAATTCTTATTCGTATGTTAGAATCGGAAGTAAAAACAGGAAGAAAATTGGAAACCTGGTGCCTGGAGATGGTGATATACACACTTGCGAATCGCCCCTTGAGCACAACAACATTACATGGAAAAAGGATTACTAACCAAAATACACAGAGAAGGAATAAGAGACTTAATATCAAAGATAAGGCCAGCACTTATAGTTTAGTGCTTATTGACATTAAATTTGGAGTCCAAAGGACACATAAGGGTTATATATAGAGACGGGCAACACCCACTACATTCCTTATATAATATCACATTACAACACTTTACTTAGGAAAAGGGAAGGCATTTATCCCAATTTGGAGTGTTTAGATAGTGAGATCACAGACCACCGCTTTCATTTGAAATAATACTCGAAGATCATATATTGCTGCAATCAGTCTAGATTCAATGGCAGATTTTGCGAAATCCATATTTGGGTTCAGTGGCTTCCACAAGAAAGAGAACCAGACGAACTGTCTGTCGGATGAAGCATCAAAAGAAAACCAAAGACCATATCAACAGCTTCCATCACAATACCAAGAGAAAACACAGCCTTTAAGTCAGCATACCACGGGCCAGTCGCAGTTTTCTGACATGGCCAGTCACCACCCTAGCGAATCGATTACGTCGGCAAATAAAAAGTTTTTGCCCAGGGGATTGGCCAACGTTACTCCAACGACGGCTATTTCAAACCAATCGATGGCATACGGCACAACTACTAAAAACGACGGCAATACTACAAGCGAAGCATTTTTGAACCAGACGTTTAAGAATGGAAATAACAATTCCAATTCTAACTTGGGCCAAGACACACATATGGCATCTCAACAAACTAACAGAAGTCAGCATCACCAACAATCGCAGCAAGCCTCTACCGCTGCTAGTATGAATGATGACATAAGCATTGCTTCTGATCAGTATTCCAAGCAACCCGTCATCATCACCACTGATGAGACAGGTCAAAATCAACAACCTCAATCCAAAAATGGTAGTCAACCTAAGGGCAGATTGAAGGTTGCAATTATTGAGGCCAAAGATTTATTAATAAACTCGAACAATTCACAACCTTATGTTGTATGCACGTTTGAAAGTTCTGAATTTGTTACAAATGCTCCTGGATCATTTGGCAAATCTTCAAATCATTCTATAAATGGTCCTCATAATAAATTCCAGCATTTGGGGGGTGTTCCCATGGTGAAGTTTTCAGACAAAAGTGAAAAGAATAGACCTGCATTATATCAAAGACAATCATCAACTCAGCATCTCAATTTGAAGAATTTTAAAATTGGCTCCACAAATCCAATTTGGAACCACGAGGCAATCTTTGATGTAGTTGGATCTAAATCGGAATTAGATATATCGGTCTACGATGCTGCAAGTGATGACTCCTTCTTAGGGCACGTTAGAATCTTTCCTTCTACTAACAGCTCGACATCTAATAAACAAAATAATGCAGAATGGTTAGAATTGAAAACAAGAATTGTTGGAGAAAGAGTCTCTGGTTCAATCAGAGTTAATTGGGAGTACACTTCATTGGGAAAAAAACTGTACGGACCAGAGGATTTTGAAGTTTTGAGATTATTGGGTAAGGGAACTTTTGGCCAAGTTTACCAAGTTAGAAAGAATGATACTGACAGAATTTATGCTATGAAAGTTTTATCCAAGAAGGTTATTGTTAAAAAAAAGGAAATCGCACATACTATTGGAGAAAGAAATATATTAGTTAGAACATCGACGGCCGCCTCTCCCTTTGTCGTTGGATTAAAATTTTCTTTTCAAACTCCCTTGGATTTATACTTGGTCACTGATTATATGTCTGGTGGAGAATTGTTTTGGCACTTACAAAAAGAAGGAAGATTCCCAGAAGATAGGGCTAAGTTTTATATCGCCGAATTAGTCTTGGCTTTGGAACATTTACATGACAATGATATTGTATACCGTGACTTGAAACCAGAGAATATTTTACTTGATGCTAATGGACATATTGCATTATGTGACTTTGGGTTGTCAAAGGCCAATTTAAATAACGATGGTACCACCAACACTTTCTGTGGTACAACGGAATACTTAGCACCTGAAGTCTTACTTGATGAATCAGGATATACAAAAATGGTTGATTTCTGGTCGTTAGGTGTTTTGATTTTTGAAATGTGTTGCGGCTGGTCTCCATTTTATGCCGAAAATACTCAGCAAATGTACAAAAATATTGCATTTGGTAAAGTGAGATTTCCCAAAGAAGTATTAAGTATTGAGGGTCGTTCGTTTGTCAAGGGTTTATTAAACAGAAACCCTAAGCATAGATTAGGATCCACTAACGATGCAAGGGAATTAAGAGCACATCAATTCTTTCAGGATATTGACTGGCATTTGTTGAAAGCAAAGAGTATCCCACCTCCCTTCAAGCCACATTTAACTTCAGAAACTGATACATCTAATTTCGACCCTGAATTCACTTCAGAGTCTACCTCAGTATTAAAGAAACAGTTGGAATTAGCCTCCACTCCATTATCACCCGGAATTCAAGCAAATTTTAAAGGATTCACATATGTTGATGATTCAACCATGGAAGACCACTTTGGAAAATCACATAGAATGAATGCTTTCAAAGGCCCTGGGTCTTTTATTCCTGGTAACCCTGACTTACCTCCTGACGAAGACGCCATAGACGACGATCAATTTGACGAAAACGAAGAAATGGAAATCGATGAAGATCATCATATGGACGATGAAGAATTCGTTAATGGCAGGTTCGATTTATGAGCTACTAATATTCTGTTGTACTCTATGTATTTATTTTCATACCATTACGTTCATGTATTATTTTGTCATTATTAGTTGATTCAACGTTGGCCGTATACTTTTTTTATTCCTTTATTTGGGTGTTCTATTTAAGGGCATTATTTTTTATTTACTTATTCAATTCCTAATGGGTTCTCTATTTATATAAATACAATATATATCTTAATAAAGCTTTTATGCTTCTGGTTTTGTGATCGTATATTTGAAGTTCCGTCGCATACAAAAATATCTACTAAACGAAAATAACAGTTAAGTTCAGTCCATAATATATATATACATGTACTAATATTTGAAATGGGACACCCAGGAAGACCAAGGCGTCGTAATAAAATTATACCACCCCATCAGCAACCACAAGTAGCGCAACCAAGGCAGCCAATAAAAGAAGAGCCGATGGTTCAGTTACATGACGAAGCAGATTTAATTTCATTTAGATCTGATGCATTACATAGATTCGTCACTAACCAAGAATACTTGGAAAATGTCACGTCAAAACACATTCACACGTCTAAAATAATCCCACCTAGCTCATTTCCTACGGTACCTAAACGAGAGGATGTTGATGGAGATGAACTAAAGAAAGTAGTGCAGAATTTAAAGCCCGAGGAATTATACTTTGGGGATTTAAAATTAATGAAGATGAAGAAGCAGTTGTTGGAGCTGGACATTAGCAAGTTACAGCACGAAGAATCTCCCTACTCTATTGATAGTGATAAAGAATACACATATCGCAGAGAAAATATCGATAAACTTGCCTTGCTCCAATCTAAACTAGGAACTAGCGAGTCGTTCGAAGAGTTGGAAGCTGTGTTCAACAGTGTTTTAGAGAAATACGAACACGAATTCAGCAAGAAGTATACATCCATATCATCAGTGCACAAACATTCACAACCTATAAACAACTTGACGCACCAAGAGATTCGTGTCACCCAGGCACCCGAGAATTACAACCCTAGGCTGATTAGTTCCTTGGTGAGTATCAACAATAACGACAAAAATAATAACCAGAATGATGATGATGATAATATATTTGGTCATGATGTCAACTATGATGGAAACAGAAACGATATGCCCTTCATTGATGGCTTTGAACAATCCAACCAACCTAATGAGTTTAATTCCAATGGTCCATCTGCTATTTCCAATGATTTTACCATGTCAATGGTTGCTAATAATAACCAAAATACAAATGATGATGACAATAATAATAATAATAACAATAGCAATGATGATATTGACCAGCTATTCGATGAAGATAACGATGATCCTGTCATGGGAAGTACTAATGACCAAGAAATGGGTGATATTGATGAGCTAATTGACTTTCAACAAGCAGACGACGAAATTATTGGGGGAACTGATTTCGACCAAGACTTCTTGAACCAGATTGACCACAGCATGGAATAGATATACCATTCTTAGGGTTTAGTATTCTAGTATGTATAGTATGTATTATTATCATTACATATCTTTTATCACGTGACGCAAATCACAATAGTTAGCGAGAGTTGGTATGTTTAGAGAAGCTGTTTACAAGGGTACTCTAATTAACCATAGATATAATCTTGATAGTAATAGACTCAGAGGAGCCAACGTATAATATATGGATCAAGCGCAGCTGGAATTTGATCAGAATGGTGCATTCCAAGTTAGGCAGCAGATATTGAAGCAGCACCAGCTACAACAACAACAACAAACAAAATCAAGAATAAAACAACAAAAACTTCGAATTACGTTTCTAGGGTATATATTGGTGTTGGTTTGCTTTGCCACACTTCAATTTATTGGTGTTGGATTTTTTACACTGGGATTTTTGTTATCTAGACAAGTTCTTCCGAATATCTCAGAATGTACGGGTACCCAGGAAGATTCGTGTATACAGCCAGCAAAGTTTGATAAGGCAGTGGTATTGGTGATAGATGCGCTAAGGTTTGATTTTGCTATTCCAGTGGAGGGATCAGATGAATATTATCACAACAACTTCCCTATTTTACATGAGTTGACCCAGTCAGAACCAGATAACGCGATCTTGTTGAAATTTATGTCTGATCCACCAACAACAACTTTGCAAAGATTGAAAGGATTGACTACAGGTTCGTTACCTACATTCATAGATGCCGGATCCAATTTTAATGGTGATGCCATTGATGAAGATAATTGGATATTACAACTACACAGGAACAATAAAAGTGTAGCTTTTATGGGCGATGATACGTGGACAGCCTTGTTTACTGAATATATCAACCCGCAATTGAACTTCCCTTATGACTCGTTGAATGTTTGGGATTTGCACACAGTCGATAATGGAGTTATTGATCATTTATACCCATTATTGGAAAAAGAGAACTCTACAAAGTGGGACGTGTTGATTGGTCACTTTTTAGGAGTGGACCATGTTGGTCACCGATATGGGCCAAACCATTACTCGATGAAAGAAAAACTAAATCAAATGAATGAGGTTATTTCAGATGTAATCAAGAGGTTGGACGATGATACATTATTAGTGGTTATGGGTGATCATGGAATGGACTCTACAGGTAACCATGGAGGTGATTCATTAGATGAATTAGAGAGTACCTTATTTATGTATTCAAAACACAAAAAGTTCCATGTAAACAAAAAATTGGCCGACTTTTATGATACTCGTGATATGGGAAAACATTACAGATCGGTCAATCAAATAGATTTGGTTCCTACCGTATCTTTGTTATTAGGATTGCCTATTCCTTATAATAACTTGGGCTTTCCGATTGATGAAGCATTTGGAAATGACAAGGATTTAGCTCTTGCAAGCTTTAAAACCTTACGTCAAATCCAAAGTTTTAGGGAATCAACTCCTAACTTGGCATCTAACTTGGAAATCACTGAGAAATTCGAAAAATTTGCCCAAGATTATTCTAAGTTTGGTAACAATAAAAAGTATCTTTCAAAGCTTATTGAATTTTCCAAAAGCTACCAATATGATTCATTAGAACAGTGCAAATCGCTATGGGCTCGTTTTGATTTATCATTAATAGGTATCGGTATTGCCATTATCTTTTTCTCATTAACATTCATTACAACTTATTCCAGATCTATACCATCAGTAAGAGTACTGACTATGTCCTTCGAATTTATAGGATCGATTATTGCCATGTTATTGGTTGGTTTGGTTTCAAGTTTTTCTATATTCATAGTCTTGAAACCAACTGGGTTTGATATGAAGAAATGCCTTCTTATCGGAGCAGCATTAGGAATAATTATTGGGTTTTGGGCTCCTATAATGGATAGATTTAGCATAAGTTTCTTGTGGCACCAATTAAGAGACTTTTTCAGTTACAATTTCAACAGTTGGTCATTTTTAGGCATATCGTTTGTGGTATTTCATTGTTTAATATTTGCATCAAATTCATTTGTTGTATGGGAAGATAAAATGGTACTGTTTTTCTTACTTACTTTTGGTGCATGTTGTTTATACAGTTGCTTGATCAACTCTAGACGTTCAAAGGTGGATAATATTCTAGGTATTCTGCATGCAATAACATTTATTGTATTATCAAGACTAACATCAATGATTAATTTATGCCGTGAGGAACAACATCCATATTGTAAAGCAACCTTTAAAACAACTTGGTGGTCCATCATATTATTACATTTATGTTCATTTGCATTACCATTAGTGGTTAAGTCTTTCTATAAGCTTTCTAATTCCTACCATTCGGCTGCACCTTTGTGGATAGGGACGGGAGTGAAAATTTTAATGGTAATGAATGCGATATATTGGACGTTTGAATATATTGAAAATCAAGACTTTTATTTAGCTTCAAAATTCAGTATAAGTGGACCATTATTAAAATCAGTGAAAATTGCAATTGCGAGAATTGTACTTTTTATCACATTAGTTCTCGCAAATTTCAGTTGGTCAAGAGGACCATTGTGTGTTAAAATAAATACCCAATCTGTTGAAATTCTCGAGGATTCTGATTCTGATGATTTACTGTCGAACTTGCTGCCACAGCCCCATCAACAACCCGGAAGATCCAATACGATTTTAGGATATGGTAATGTTTACGGATCATCGTATTTCTTACTAGTGCTTAACTTCGCCGTGGCAATTATGTTAGTGACGAAGCCATTGGGTGCAATTTCACTTAATATGCTATTAGTTCAAATCTTATCCCTCTTAGAATTATATAATATCCTTGGGTTGAGAAAAAATCTTATTGCTCCTATTATATTTGGATTATTGGGATATCAGCATTTCTTCAGTACTGGGCACCAGGCAACTATCCCATCTATCCAATGGGAGCTAGGCTTCATGACAACAGAAACTATATTATTCCCATTCACACATTTGAACATTGTACTAAATACATTTGGCCTGTTTTTGATTGTTTGCTTATCAATTCCATTAATAGCGTTGTGGAGAATTCCCCCATCAAATAGACCAATTACAGTTTTGTCACAAATAATTACGGACATCACAACTTTAATAACGTATCAAACATTTATCAGTTTATCAAGTTTAATTTTCGCTGCTCATTTTAGAAGACACCTTATGGTTTGGAAGATTTTCGCCCCGAGGTTCATGTTAAGTAGTTTATTATTAATTGTTTTGAACATAACTTTGATTTGCATAACTTTATGGTTCGGAGCTGGTAAGGTTATCGCCCAAATTAATAGGATTTTCGGAAAATGATGCTTAGAATTTTATGAATTTAGAGATAGTTCTAAGCTTGTTACCGATTATCGTTTATTTATTAGTATATAGTTCAATTATATATATATCAGATTTTTGCATAAACATTTTTTTCAACACGGCAAGACGATAAAATATGAGAATCGAAAAAAGGCGATAAAGATAAAGACAAGTTTTGATGATCTACTTACAGCAATTCATAGATGACTTAACCTACCAATGTTATATACAACAATACACAATAGAATTGCATTTGTATCATTCATACTTACGTACTTCTGTTGCGTGCAATCATTGAAATACCAATACGAATCATCATTCACGCCAGATCACATTAAATATTTGAAAAATGAAACTAAACTTCTATTCAGGCATGCGTGGTCCTCGTATATGCAATATGGATTTCCAGCAGATGAAGTAAGACCAAATACTTGTGAGCCATATGGTCCTGATTACAAAAATATCTATAACGTGGTAAGAAATGATGCATTGGGTAATACTTCTCTGACGATTCTAGACAATTTAGATACGTTAATGATAATGGAAGAATGGGATGAACTAGAAAAGGCATTGAAATACCTTAAATCTGAAGAGAAGACCTTGTTTAATAAAGATACAATAGTACAAGTCTTCGAAACTACTATTCGGTCGTTAGGTGGGCTTTTATCAACACATTTATTATTGACAGATGTGACGAACAATCTGGAGTTGCCATTGAAATACAAACGGTTTAAAAAAATATCCGACAACTATGACGGATTTTTGTTGAATATGGCTTATGATTTGGGTCTTAAATTACTTCCAGCCTTCAAGACATCTACAGAAATTCCAGTTCCTCGAGTTAATTTGGCAAAAGGGGTCTTGAAAGTTCCATCAGCTCTTCAAAAAGAAACTTGTACATCTGGCGCAGCATCACCGGTTCTTGAATTTACGCTTCTTTCAAAGCTTTCAGGAGATCCTCAGTTTGAATATTATTCACAGTTGACATTTTGGAAGCTCTGGTCTTCTAGACTGCGTCTTGATTTGATGCCTATGACAATAGACCCAATTGCAAATCAATGGAAGGATCAAATCACAGGAATAGGTGCTTCAGTTGATTCATTTTATGAGTATGCAGCTAAGGCATCTATATTATTCAATGATGATTACATGTGGCATGTATTCAAGACATCATATAAAGCATTATTAACACACCTGGTCCAAGGTGGCGGGAATAACGAGGGTGCGATGATCTTTGGTAATGTGGGAGTTAATGACGGTTCATTGGCTTCTATATGGGTAGATCTGCTTGGAGCGTTTTGGTCAGGCTTACAAGTATTGACTGGGCAATTGCAAGATGCTGTTAAAACCCACTTAGTATACTTAAAGTTATGGGATCATTTTGACCTGATCCCTGAAAGATGGAATTTTTTACTAACTAAATCTCAATATGAGAAAGATGAATCTGAAGCGATAATGCTTGAATGGTATCCATTGAGGCCTGAGTTTATCGAGTCTACATACTATTTGTATAGAGCGACTAGAGACCCTATGTATTTACAAATCGGAGCTAGAGTGCTTGAATTGTTAAAAACCAAATACAAGGCTGCTTGTGGATTTCGTGGACTACAAGATATACGAACCGGCAAATTTCAGAATAGGATGGAAACTTTTGTTATGAGTGAAACATTGAAATATTTGATGTTATTATTTGATGCTGACAATGAAATTTTTCTTCATACAAGCATGATGAGCAATAAGAATTGGATTTTTTCAACAGAAGCTCATCCCATGTGGTTTGATAAGAGATTAGATCCATACAACTTCACACATTCTAAATCTGCAGATAAACAAGCTACGAAGGTATTGAAAAACCTGGTATTTGCGAAGATGAAGTCAAAATTTAGTAGAAGCAAGCGGAAATTAACTACGGCGGATGAAAAAACGTTCTATCGAAACATTACAGCACCTAGAATCATCAAATATGATGTACCAGGAATAAGGGAACATGAAAATATAGAAAAGGTCGATCCTTTGGAAGCTAAGTTCGATAAATGTGAAGTGAGCGTATTTAGTGAAAAACCTTCGATGTTGACAGTATCTGGGTATTACAAATGGAACTCTTTCTTCTATCCAGATCATGCTTTCAAATACTCTCTAATAAAGCCATCATATATTCTGAGTTCGGCTCTTGATGGAAGCTGTATAGAATTAACACCGTCGTTCTTCAAAAACTTTGGGTTGTCATGTCCCGATAATACTACCGCATACCACCGCCAGTGTCCTAGAGCGTCTACCACGACATATCTTGAATTATTCTTGGGAGATATAGAGAAGGCCCAAAGTGTCGAGATATCAAGATTAAAATGTAACGGAACGCATTCTTCAGTGGGTCTGCCGCTTCAAGAAGGCGATTTGTGGGTTCCTGAATTTTCTGGGCTTAGAGTAAAGCTAGAGAAGTTATCGTCTGGCTTGGTTGACTCTCAAAATCGCCTAATAACCGACACATTCATACAGTCAATAAGAGTTGACGATTACAATGCTGAAATAGGAATGTCTGCCGTGAATCAAACGGTTTCTAATACAAAAAACGTTCTGTTAGTACTCAGAATCAATAAAATCAACGGCATTCCCGTTGAACCCGGTCAGGTTGTATGGACGTTACCGTTTGAATCTAGCGGGCCAGTGAGTGAGTCATCAATTGGCGTTGCAAGTGACAGCCGAGTAGTATTACAGGGCAATGTCGTAGAAAACCTAAAGGTTTGGTATGGTTGAATTTTTCAATTACCGTTAATAGCCGAATTGTTTTATCTCGGTTTGACTCATTTTTTCATTTATAAACTGACGAACTCACCTGTAAATTTTATGAAGGAAAAAAAACTAGCGTACGAAGTTACCTTTTTTAGAGTAAGTATTATACGTATACAGAACACGGATATATATTGCATAATTAGATTTGATAGAGCTATGCAAATATTGAAACAAATATTCAGTACAACTTGTAGAAAAAGTTTATTTAAAGGTCAGGGTATTAACAATATCAGAAAAATGTCATTAGATTCTACAAAATTAGAAATTAGCAAAACTACAACACCAAAGGAAAAGTTGCCAAATGATCAATTAATATTTGGTAAAACTTTCACAGACCATATGTTAGAAATTGAATGGACCAAGGAAAATGGATGGGGTGTTCCAAAAATTTCACCTTACCATAACTTTTCGTTTGATCCATCAACCGTTGTCTTCCACTATGCATTCGAATTGTTTGAAGGTATGAAGGCTTATCGTGATAACAAAAACCAGATTAGAACCTTTAGATCTGATAAGAATATGGCAAGAATGAACCAATCTGCTGAAAGAATTGCTTTACCAACCTTCGATGGGGAAGAGTTCATGAAGTTGATTGACAAGCTTTTGCTTATAGATGAAAGCTTTGTTCCTCAAGGTGCTGGCTATTCATTATACTTGAGACCAACCTTGATAGGTACCACTGCTTCGTTAGGTGTTGGAACTCCTGACAAGGCCTTATTATATGTTATTGCTTCTCCAGTCGGTCCATACTACGGTACCGGATTCAAGCCAGTTTCATTGGAAGCCACAGATTACGCTGTTAGAGCTTGGCCAGGTGGTGTTGGTAACCGTAAATTGGGTGCCAATTACGCCCCATGTATTTTACCTCAATTAGAAGCAGCCAAGAGAGGCTACCAACAAAACTTGTGGTTATTCGGCGATGAAGGTTATGTCACCGAGGTTGGAACTATGAATGTTTTCTTTGCTTTTAAGGATTCCGAAGGAAAGAAGGAATTAGTTACTGCCCCATTAGATGGTACTATTTTAGAAGGTGTCACCAGAGATTCCATCTTGAAATTGTGTAAAGAGAGATTACCTTCAGAATGGACAGTTACCGAACGCAAGTTCACTATCCATGAAATTGAAGAAAGGGCTGCTAAAGGTGAATTGATTGAAGCTTTCGGTGCTGGTACCGCTGCTGTCGTTTCTCCAATAGAAAGAATTGGCTGGAAAGGTAAAGATATTTCAGTTCCAATTTCTAGTGGTGATGCAGGTGAATTAACCAAGCAAGTAGCTGAATGGATTAGAAAGATTCAATATGGTGAAGAAGAATATGAGAACTGGTCAAGAGTTGCTAAATAGGTTATTTTACAGTTGTGGTTTAATATATGATTTATGCTTGTTTACTTTATAGCAGTAAAATCTATTTATATGCTAATCTATATGCTAGTTAATTCTTTCAATACCAGGTAACTTTTGAATTTCATTTAAAATATAATCTCTCTCGTCGATTAGATTTGAATCGTTGAAACTGTTAATGTTAAAGTTTCTAAAAAATGCAATAAAATTCTCTTTATTCTTTATAAGAATATCTAAAATCTTTTGAGATTTCTTAGGTTTAGCAACGAAAAATTTAAAAATGTGAAACCCTTCGATCTGTAGGTTTTTCAGCTTATCGCTTAACAACAACATGATTAATTTCAAATTATTTGTATCATCGAAATATTTATTCAAAAAGAACTGATTCTGTCTCTGTAAAACTAGCTCTGCCAACAATCTAACACTTTGGCGCTTCGTAACATAATTGTTAGATTGAATCAACTGGTTTATGTGGGATGTGAAAATCTCATAGTTATTGGCTAAAAATTCCGATACTAACTTCTTGTGTGTAGTCAACAAGTCATGCAAGGTAATGAATGAATCAGTAGCAATCTCGAATATTGGAATCTGAACATAATTGAAATAGCTCCAAAATAATGGGTTATTGATGATGAATCGGTTAATCGCTTCAAACTTGATGCAATCTCTCAATATCTGCCCGCATATCGATCCTGTTTCTTGGGTCTCAGGGCCCTTCATCAAGAGCACTAATATATCGGGCTTCGAATTGAGAAGATAGTTAACGGTGGGAGATGTACTCCCAATTTGCCGTCGTAAAAGCGTCAGAAACAAAATCAACACATCCTTTCTCGAATCAAAGTCCAATTTTCGCATGTTGTATACCAAATGGTAGAGGCAATCACTAGAATAAATCTCTTGTGCTAGTTGTGATATTTGTTCTGGCTGTGGTTCGCTATCGTCCCCTCCATGGAGAATCACCTTGATCTGCTTCAAATACCTTGAACATTCATCTTGGTACTTCTTATTATTATCATTATTAAGATCTAGTTTACTCACTTGATCATTTAACACTCTAACCAAATCTGGCGCCGTTTTAGGATTCCTTTTAAATAAAAATGCCATATCTTAAAATGCTATTTCCTGGCGCTTAATCTTCAAAAATCAAAATTATTAACAATTTAATTCACCAGAACTTTTAATATTACTCACTGGTAGTCCAGTTCCCTTTTTATAACTCTTTCTATTGAAAATTTAAAATTGCTATGTATGGCGGTTCCATGTGTTCTATCATAACGAATTTTGAATATAAATTCCTGATTTACAGGTTAGTTTTGAGGTGGGGGGTTTTGCAGGTTAGATTCTTAGATCAATATGATCATAAGAATAGGAAAACTACTTCTATTTAATAGGGTAGGAAGTCATTGAGATGGTTTCTAGAATAGGTGTATGGCAGGCCGCATCCGTGAATCGAAGTAATCGACCTATCTTGAAAGAAGGAGAGCATAATTTATATGTACGAGATAACATAGGACTATATCAGGGCAAGCTGAAAATCATGAATAGACAAAATGGAAGGGTGTATTTGACCAACAAGAGGATAATATATCTAGACAACGAAGATTCTAAACAATCCATAGCTATTGAATTGAAAAATGTGTCTCGTGGGGAGGTTGTCGAACGATTTTTGAGATCGTCGCCTAAGGTGAAGCTATATTTAAAAGAACAGACAGATGTGCAGCAATCTTCGAGAAAACGCAAAGATAGTAAAGGGGATAAAGCAACAGCTGATTGGGTGTGTATTATATGCTCGTTTAATAATCAAATACTGATTGACACGAATTTGGACGATGATCTCCCAAAATGTGGTTCTTGTGGAATCAAACCGTCGAGAGACCAGCTTGTGAATTCCATAGAACAAAAACGTACCGAGACCTTGACCAATGGTAATGAGCATCAGGATTCGATTCCAAATAAAAAATCATCCCAGCTGTCTTTACGTGATGACCAATGTCCAAAATGTACGTTTATCAACCATCCAGCCTTGAAGTATTGTGAGTTGTGTGGAAGCGAGTTAAATTCATCACTATTTAAGAAGTTAAAAGAGAGACTCAACATCACGGATAATGTAGCGATAATACCTGAAGATACAAACCCAATGAATATCTTGCTAGAAAATGATTCTGAAGAATACACAAATAATAAACCATATGTCAAGTTAAGTTTCCGAAAAAATGGTGAAACCCAATTTTATCAAATACTAACAGATGCACTAGATAAAATGAAGTGGGAAAACCTTGTTAACAAAGGCTCGATTAATGAGAATGGAATTAAGGTGAACGACTATTCGCCAACGCCACCTCCTCAGAAACAAATAAGGGGAGGTGGAATCCATGGATTGGAACAAATCGGAGAGCAACAACGGAAACAGAACGAATTAGTTTTATCTACTTCATTAGAGGACCTAGAACAATTAATGTACAAAGCTCAAGATTTAATTAAATTATCAAGCTCATTCGGTAAATTAATTAAAACAACACCTCAGAATATAAACACGATTATACCACCGTTGAGTATCAAAAAATCATCTAATTTATATCATCAAGAATTGGCAAGACACATTAGTGAGTATCTCACTAACTTCCAGTTGACTAAAAGCTCAGCAATGATAACTTCCCAGGATCTTTATGCTTATTATAACCGCTATCTCGTATCTACACAAGGCTTTGGTACAGATTTGATCTCCCATGCCGATTTTAATAGGTCCCTTGAGCTATTTGATAGCCTAAAATTGCCTATTGCATTAAAAAAATACGAGAAATCCGGTTTGATAGTTATTTGTTACAAGAGGACTAACGATTACAGCGAATTTATCACCAATTTCTTACGCTCACAAGAGCGACTGTTCATACACGACAAAGTGAAGAACGAAATTCTAATGGGTCTTGATGAACAGGAGACCGACGAAGATGGGTACATTGAAGAAAATTATAACTTTTTTAAGGGTAATACTATTCCTGAGATTTGCGATGATCTTGGGTGGTCGTATAGTATTACGATCGAAGAGATCGAAAAATGTATCGAATCGGGCCTAGTTGTGATCGACCAGAACATCCTGGGGACCTTCTATTTCATAAATCATTTTATAGACGATGAATCTAGCGCTACCGAGATAAACGAAGCATTGGTTAGTCAGATAAGACAAGACGTGCTTCTGGAGCAAAAGGATATAACTGAAAATTTAAAACAACAATACTACCTTGAAAGAGATCAGAACTTGATAAACTTCAAGCCTGAAATCAATTACGATGATTCAGTAAGTCCTGGTTCAACCGCAACTCCTACATCTAGTGCAAATGCAACGCCAGTTCCAATTTCAGATGTTACTAGTTATTCTCTAAACGACTTACAAGGTTTGAATTTTACTTAGTAATGCAGCATATGCAATGCCCACTGTTTGTTTTATAAGAACATCTGAAATATTACTCCAATAAAAATTTTCCAACAGTTTTCTTTATCGCGATAATACTCTAGTTTTACTGGGTAGCGATCTAAAAACGGTTAAGATAAGCCATTTATTCGCCTGGTGTTGAACAATAGTTCCTTATCAGTGAACGAAAATTATTATGTAATCTGTCGAGATTTTGCGACAAGATTTGATAGCCGTATAATCTAATCGCCTAGATAACAGGTTATTAAAACGTTAAGAATTGGAACCCGGAACCCAGTCAAAAAGTCATCGGGCCATCGGGCCACTTAAATATTCTAGTAGTGCACTTATCTATACCATTAAACTAAAATGGAGATAATATTTCTTATCATTAAATCATCCAATTTAATTTTCATATTCAAATGCAATATATATAAGTAGGATAATTCGAAAAAATATAAATCTTGTTCTAGAGTAACTAAATATAAGAAATTAAATAAGGAATATGACTGAAGCATATGTTCCATTACCTCAAGCTGCCGGTTATGCAGTAGTGGTAGGATTGGGAGTTGTATTCGCTGCTGGTATGATATTGACTACTTTTGTTTTAAGAAGGTATAATAAAGAAATTATTACTGCTGAAGAGTTTGCTACAGCAGGAAGATCAGTTAAAAAGTCATTGATTTCTGCTGCAGTGGTAAGCTCGTGGACATGGGCTGCGACTCTTTTAACTTCTACTACACAAACATATAATAATGGTATTAGTGGTTCGTTCTACTATGCTGCCGGAGCTACATGCCAGATTGTTTTGTTTTCATGTCTTGCTATCAAGGCAAAAGAAAGAGCACCAGGAGCACACACATATCTTGAAATTGTTAAAGCCAGATACGGTAGTGGTGCGCATGGAGTTATGTTGTTCTTTGGGCTTGCCACAAATATTCTAGTCACTGCCATGTTGTTAAGTGGAGGTAGTGCTGTTGTAAGTGATTTAACAGGAATGAATACAGTTGCTGCATGTTTATTATTGCCGTTAGGTGTGGTGGTATATACCTTATTCGGTGGTATCAAGGCAACATTTTTGACAGATTATGCACATACCGTTGTCATCATAGTAATTATTATGGTATTTTCATTCAGCGCATTTGCTACTTCCGATAGATTGGGATCACCTGCAGTTGTTTGGGAAGCTGTAACTAAATTGGCTGAAACTCAACCAAGAGAAGGTAATGCTGGTGGCTCCTATTTAACTATGCATTCAAGATCTGGAGGAATCTTTTTTGTGATTAATATTGTCGGAAACTTTGGTACTGTCTTTTTAGACAACGGTTATTTCAATAAAGCTTTTGCAGCTGACCCTGCTGCAACTTTGCCAGGGTATGTTTTGGGAGGGTTAGCTTGGTTTGCGATTCCAATGTTAACTTCAACATGTATGGGCCTTGTGGGATTATCGTTAGAGAATACCCAATATTGGCCTACCTACCCTAATAAGTTAACTGCTGAACAAGTAAGTGCCGGGTTGGTATTACCAAACGCTGCAGTTGCGTTATTAGGAAAAGGAGGAGCAGTTTGCTCATTGTTGTTGGTGTTTATGGCTGTAACTTCGGCAATGTCAGCAGAGTTAATTGCAGTTTCCACGATCTTCACTTATGATATTTTCAGAACATATGTGGATCCAAAAGCGAGTGGTAAAAAGTTGATCTTTATGTCCCACATGTCTGTGATAGCATTTGCTTATATCATGGCAGGTTTTGCAATTGGTTTATACTATGCTGGGATTTCTATGGGATATTTATATGAGTTGATGGGTATAATTATCGGGGGAGCAGTGCTTCCATCCACTCTTACTTTACTCTCCAGAAAACAAAACAAGCAAGCTGTGATATTCACACCAATCTTAGCTACTGGGTTTGCCATTTTCTCTTGGTTACTCTGTACTAAAATGAAGTTCAAAACCGTTACTGTCGACACTACCTTTGAAGATGATTCTATGTTGACAGGAAATGTGGTTGCATTATTATCCCCATTGATCTTTATTCCTATCTTTACTTTCGCTTTTAAACCACAGAACTTCGACTGGAAAATTTTAAAAGGAATCAAAAGGGTTGATGAAGAAGAAGAAATTGCAGAAGCTACCGAAAGGAAGGGTGCAAACAATGGTGATTTTGAAAATGTCCATCCTGCAAGATCCCAAATCAGTATTGTTGCAAGCGAACTTGCAGAATTGAAAACAGACCAATTAGAACTTGAATCTAAAATGCTCAATAGATCATTCAAAAAGGCAGCCATCATCTGTGTTTCCTTAACTTTATCTCTTGTCATCTTATGGCCAATGCCAATGTACGGTACATCATACATCTTTTCCAAAAAATTCTTTACTGGTTGGATTGTGGTGCTTATGATCTGGATCTTCTTTTCTGCATTCTTGGTTGTTATATGTCCATTGTGGGAAGGAAGAGAAGGCTTATTTATAACTATGAGAGGTATTTATTGGGATTGCACTGGCCAAACGTACAAGTTAAGAGAATGGCAAAATTCTAATCCTGAAAAATTACATTCTGTCAATTCACAAATCAGTGCACAACTCCTCAACTTCAACCAAATTCATGTTGTCGATGGTAAAACTCTCGATGACGGCTACAGAACTCCTAGACAAATTGACAACATTATAGATGACCCCAAAAAGGAATAATCCTCCCATATATCTATATATTTATATAATGCATTTTAGACTTGGCTTTAATAGTGAACATATTTTCCTATAAAATCTTCTTTGATAATTAGCGTATTGCCGCAAAATAATAGCCAGATGCCAGTACTATACTTAAACATAATACGGCACAACTGCTAATGTTCTCAATACCATGTTTCTAGTGCCTTCTTAGTTACTTACATTGAAGCCAATTGGCTAATTCTTCATCTCTCCTTTTGTGTGTATGTTGAATTACTTCTAACATATGGCTACATTTAAAGGCATATTGGCACATTTCTCCCTTGGAAAGCTACGCCGATTAGCCATATACAAGCACACTATACTTTTTGGCTCGGTAATTTTCTGAAGTGCGACAGATTTCTATGTACGGCATGATAGGGCCGATATCACAATTATCAAGACGAGATCGCCCAATAGAAATACAGAATCAAATACTGTATATTAGTAACTCACCATCAGAGTCCTAAGAGCCCAGGTTGATAGTAAATCAAGCGGGCCGTCTCAGTTAGGTAAATCTAGTGATAGACGGCCCGCGACCGTTTATATCTCCAGATTTAAGCTGCAGAGAAAGCGACATCACTAAAGCTCGGGCTGGTACGAACTGATAAGGCATTTTAGTATGGACTCTAAATATATATAGGGTAGTAATATCTTTGATTGATGAAGATTTGGCCTTGATATATATTATTAAGTTTAATCATATTTACTTATATATTTCTACTATCATTTTGATCTTTACTCCAAGTAATATAGCTTGAAATGTCATATATCGGATGGACTGTTCAGGACTGGATTAAATTCCACTTCGAGAACACTCCCAATGAATCATTCGCTTTATTGGTGGAATTAGTCAAGTCTCAATCCACGGAAGATCCAGCATGGATTTCGTTGGCTGATGAAGAGAGCTTGACGCACCAATGGAAATTTTTACAATCGAAATCAAATAAGATGAGTTTGCCGTTGTACGGGGTCCCAATAGCTATTAAGGACAACATAGATGTGAAGGATTTTGCTACTACTGCTGCGTGTCCTTCATTCAGCTATCAAGCAGAAGAAGATGCTACGACTGTGAAGTTGTTAAGAAATGCAGGTGCAATTATCATAGGTAAGACCAATTTAGATCAGTTCGCAACAGGATTGGTTGGAACCAGATCACCATACGGAATTACTACCAACGCATTCAGCAAGGACCATGTAAGCGGGGGATCATCCGCTGGGTCTGCTTCGGTTGTAGCAAGAGGAATCGTTCCAGTTGCATTAGGAACAGATACTGCAGGATCAGGTAGAGTTCCCGCAGGATTAAACAACTTGGTTGGATTAAAGCCAACAAAGGGTGTTTTTTCGTGTAAGGGTGTAGTTCCAGCATGTAAATCATTGGATTGTGTTTCTATCTTTCTGTTGAATTTACAAGATGCACAATTGTTGTTTAATGTTATGGCACATGAAGATGGCGAACATGACGAATATTCTAGACTGATGCCAAAGAATCCGTTAGTCAAATTTTCTCTGGCCCCAAAGATTGCAGTTCCAAACAACTTGTTGTGGTATGGCGAAGAATCTAATCCCAAATTATATAATGAAGCAGTAAATGTCTTTTCTAAGTTGGGAGGTGAAATGGTTTCTTTGGATATTGAGCCATTATTAGATTTGGCTAAGTGTCTTTATGAAGGACCTTGGGTTTCTGAAAGATATACAGCCTTGAAGGATTTCTTGGCAACAAACCCACCAAAAGAGACATTAGATCCCGTTGTTCATTCTATTATTCAAGGTGGAAAGCAATATTCTGCCGCCACTGCCTTTGATTTCGAATACAAAAGACAGGGAATCTTACAAACAGTCAACAAATTACTAAAAGATATAGATGTGATTATCTTACCCACTTCCCCATTAAACCCCACAATCAAGCAAATTGAGCAAGAACCTATCAAAATAAACTCATATCAAGGTACATATACTAATTTTGTTAACTTGGCCGATATGTCTGCATTAGCTATACCAGGTGGCTTCCGTCCTGATGGTTTACCATTTGGTATTACTTTATTATCACATAAATTTAATGACTATGCTTTACTTGAGTTAGCAAATCGTTATATGAAATTATATTCTCAATCAACTCCAAGATTTTTAGGCTGTTTGAAAGATAAAAAAGTTTCTACTATGGGTGACGAGTTGTTGAATTTACCAGAAGTTGACTTCAACTCACAAATCAAACTTGCTGTTGTAGGAGCACATTTGAAGGGATTTCAATTACATTGGCAATTAGAAAAGTGTCATGCAACATTCATTGAGTCAACAACCACTTCACCAAACTATAAATTATACGCATTGCCTAAGACAGGACCAGTTGCAAAACCAGGATTGAGAAGGGTTACTGAATTCGGTGACAGCATCATAGTAGAGGTCTATGCTATTCCTAAAGAGAGATTTGGTGATTTCATGAGTATGGTTCCTGAACCATTGGGTATTGGATCTGCTGAATTGAAATCCGGTGAATGGGTAAAGTCATTCATTTGTGAGGAATTTGGATACAATTTGCCAGGTACAGTTGATATCACTAAATATGGAGGATGGAAAAATTACCAATCCTTCTTAGAACAAGAAACTAATAAAACCTTGAGACCTTTCAAAACTGTATTAGTTGCCAATAGAGGCGAAATTGCCGTTAGAATAATGAAAACTTTGAAGAAATTAGATATCAAATCAGTCGCAGTTTATTCAAATCCTGATAAATATGCTAAACATTCATTGATGGCAGATGTATCGATACCCTTGCATGGGGTATCATCTGCGGAAACTTATCTTTCCATCGATAAAATCATTGAGGCTGCAAAATTCTCAGGCGCCGAAGCCATTATCCCGGGTTATGGTTTCCTTTCAGAGAATGCAGACTTTTCTGACCGTTGTATCAAAGAAGGGATCGTTTTTGTCGGACCTTCTGGTGATGCTATTAGAAAATTGGGGTTAAAACATTCAGCTAGAGAAATTGCGGCTAAAGCTGGTGTTCCTCTAGTTCCTGGTTCTGACTTGGTCGAGGATGCTAAAGAGGCTAAATTAATTGCTGCAAAATTGGAATACCCTGTTATGGTAAAATCTACCGCTGGTGGTGGTGGTATCGGTTTACAGAAGGTTGATTCGGAAAAAGAAATTGAAAGAGTCTTCCAAACAGTTCAACATCAAGGTAAATCTTATTTTGGAGATCCAGGTGTTTTTATTGAAAGATTTGTGGAAAATGCCAGGCATGTCGAGGTTCAGGTTTTTGGTGATGGATATGGTAAAGCGATTGCATTGGGAGAAAGAGACTGTTCTTTGCAACGTCGTAACCAAAAAATTATAGAAGAAACGCCAGCACCAAATTTATCAGAAAAGACTAGGCAAAAAATGAGGAAGGCATCAGAATCTTTGGCTGCGTCAATCAATTATAAATGTGCTGGTACGGTTGAGTTCATTTATGACGAAAAGAGAGACGAATTTTATTTCTTAGAAGTCAATGCTCGTTTGCAAGTTGAACATCCAATTACTGAAATGGTTACTGGCTTAGACTTAGTTGAATGGATGTTATTAATTGCCGCTGACAAGGCACCAGATTTTAACAGGGAAATAACTGTCACTGGTGCTTCAATGGAAGCAAGATTGTATGCAGAAAACCCTGTTAAAGACTTTATGCCTTCTCCAGGTCAATTGACTGAAGTTTCCTTTCCATCTTGGGCAAGAGTTGATGGATGGGTTGAAAAAGGTACAATTGTTTCTGCTGAATATGATCCAACTTTAGCGAAAATCATCGTACATGGTAAAGATAGAATTGATGCATTGAGAAAATTACGTGATGCTCTTAATGAAACTGTTGTTCATGGATGTGTCACTAATATTGATTATTTGAGATCAATTGCCAATTCATCTATGTTTGCTGAAGCAAAGGTTGCTACGAAAGTCTTAGATTCCTATGACTATAACCCAACCGCATTTGAAATTTTGAATCCTGGAGCCTATACTACTGTCCAAGACTTCCCAGGTAGAAAAGGCTACTGGCACATTGGTGTCCCACCATCTGGTTGTATGGACGATTACGCCTTTAGAATGGCTAATAGAATTGTTGGAAATCATAAGACAGCACCAGGTATTGAAATTACATTCATCGGTCCTAAAATATTATTCCACCATGATGCAATAATTGCAGTCACAGGTGGCTCTGTTAGCGTTGATATTAATGGTACATCTGTAGATCAATGGATTCCTATTCATATTAAAAGAGGTGACAAATTGACAATCGGTAAACTTACCTCGGGTTGCAGGGCTTACTTAGCTATCAGAGGAGGCATTGATGTTCCCGAATACTTGGGCTCAAGATCCACTTTTGCTTTAGGTAACTTAGGAGGTTATAATGGAAGAGTTTTGAAGTTAGGTGATGTATTGTTTTTGGGTCAACCAGAAATTGCTGGCTGCAAATTACCATCCGCCATTTCTGAACCTGCTCCAATTCCAAAAAGCTTGATTCCATCTTATGACTTCAATGCAACCAAAAACTGGATCGTCGGTGTTACTTGTGGACCCCATGGCTCTCCTGATTTTTTCAAACCGGAGTCAATAGAGGAATTCTTCAGTGAAAAATGGAAAGTTCATTATAATTCAAATAGATTTGGGGTTAGGTTAATTGGACCAAAACCAAAATGGGCTAGATCCGATGGTGGTGAAGCTGGTTTACATCCTTCAAATGCGCACGATTATGTTTACTCATTAGGTGCAATTAACTTCACAGGTGATGAGCCAGTCATTTTAACTTGTGATGGGCCATCCTTAGGTGGATTTGTATGTCAGGCCGTTATTGCTGAGGCAGAAATGTGGAAAATTGGACAAGTCAAACCAGGTGATTTCATCCAATTTGTTCCTATTTCTTATGAAGATGCCAAGGATTTAAAGCATGGTCAAGATAAGGTTATTGAAGATTTGGAGGGAGATTTACCAACTATCACTAGTAAGGTATTAACGAAGCCTGAGAACCCAATCATTGCAGAACATAAACCTAGTTCAAAATCCCCATCAGTTGTATATCGTCAAGCTGGTGATAGATATGTCCTTGTTGAATATGGTGATAACATCTTGGATTTGAATTTATGCTATAGAATTCATAAATTAATTAACATGGTCCAAGAGAATAAAACACCAGGGATTGTTGAGATGTCGCAGGGTGTTAGGTCTGTTTTGATTGAATACAACTCTGAAATCACTCAGCAACATCTAGTCGATACTTTAATCTCTTTCGAAAAAGAAATTACTTTCGTTAATAAATGGAAGGTTCCTTCCAGAATTATTAAGTTACCTATGGCATTCGAAGATAAAAAGACATTAGATGCTGTCAAAAGATACCAAGAAACCATTAGAGCTGAAGCACCCTGGTTACCAAACAATGTAGATTTTATTGCTGAAATTAATGGCTTAACGAGAAATGATATCAAGGATATGATGTACACCGCCAGATACTTGGTTCTTGGGTTAGGTGATGTTTTCCTTGGAGCCCCATGTGCGGTACCATTAGACCCAAGACATAGATTGTTCGGCACGAAATACAACCCTTCTCGTACTTACACTCCTAACGGTTCTGTTGGTATCGGAGGTAGTTATATGTGTATTTATACAATGGAATCTCCAGGTGGTTATCAATTGATCGGACGTACTATCCCAATTTGGGATAAATTGACATTGGGAACCAATTCAGATCAACCATGGTTATTGTCTCCTTTTGACCAAATTGAATTTTATCCTGTTTCTGAGGAACAAATTGACAAGTATACTGAACAAGCTTCTGTCGGTAAGTTCAAGATTGATATTGTTGACTCTGTATTTGACCACAGAAAATACTTGGACTGGGTCCAAGAAAACTCAGAGTCCATCGAAAAATTCCAGAACCAAAGTGGAGAAAAGTTAGAAGAAATCAGTAACCTTATTAAACAATCTAATGCCGACTTAGAAAAGAGTTCTGTGTCTGAAAAAACTGACGAGGATATCTATGGTGAAAATGCTGAAAAGGTTTACTCTGAGTATTCGGGTAGGGTTTGGAAGCCACTTGTTGAAGTCGGTGAAGTAGTTAAAGATGGACAAGGTATACTTATTGTCGAAGCTATGAAAACAGAAATGGTTGTTAGTGCCACCAAAGCTGGTAAAGTTGTGAAATTAGTTCATGACAATGGAGATGTCATTGATGCTGGTGACCTAGTTGCAATTATTGAATAATTTTGAGAGTTAGAACGTTTTTATTTCATCTTATATATATAATAAATATTAGATTCATTAATACTTAACAAGCTGCCTGTAATAATCGTTTATATGTGAACCCAATAATTTGCAATAAGAATAAAATCAGCTTTGCGTCCGTTATACTTGAAAACGAGATTTTCATACAGACGCGGTTTTAAGTTGTAGACGTGAACGAAGACTATCATTATAATAATAACAAGTAAACAACGGGTAAATATATTAATATGAGTGATAATACGCCAACACCTAGTATAACGGCTGCTTCTTTACAACCTGAATTGTGGACATCATCTTCAAATGATGCCTTACAAATATATATAACTGATTCAGATGGAACAGCCTTAAACTTTCATCCAAATTTTACATACCCAATATTTGGGGACTCTGAACAGATATTTGGGTACAGAGACTTGGTGATCTTCTTGTGCTTTGACCATTGTACTTTTTACCCATTTTTGAATGTCAAATATAGTGATAGATTGAATGATGATACACTCGAAGACCCTCGTGCAAAATTATTGAGTTATTTACCGGAATCTACTGTTTTTAAAGATGAAGCCAAGTGGGCAGATTCGATAAGTAAGGAGAAAGAAGATTTCAAGATTCCTGGGGAGTTAATTGGGGATGTTTTCACTCTCGGAGAGGATAAATACGGAATTTACAAGCTTGATTTAAAGAATGCACAAGGATTAGAGCTCCATAAGAGATTGCAAATCTTGGTATTATTATTTATTGAAGCAGGATCGTATATTGACCACCAAGACGAGTTGTGGGATATTTATGTCATGTATAAAGTCACTGATGAAAAAACTCCAAGTATTATTGGGTTCTGTACGGCGTACAATTATTGGAAATACGGAGGATTTGACAAATTCGACTCGAACCAACAGGAGGTCCGGAAGAAGATTTCCCAATTCATTGTATTGCCAATGTTCCAGGGATTAAAATTGGGAGGACATTTTTATAATAAATTATTTGAATATTGGATGCAAGACCCCAGTGTTATTGAAGTTGTTGTGGAGGACCCTAACGAAAGCTTTGACGATTTAAGAGATAGATGTGACTTGACCAGATTGTGTCAAAATACTATCAAGGTGGCGTCCGTTGACTTAGCTTTGATTAACAGCGAATGGGCAACTAAGTTAAGACAGGAGCAGAAATTGGAAAAGAGACAATTTTCGAGGTTATTGGAAATGATTTTACTCTATCAATTGGAACACAGTCTTACCAATGTCACCAGAAAGCAAGTGAGATTGTTTATTAAGAAGAGGTTGTATGAGAAAAACAAAGAAATATTAGACGGGTTAGATGAACCTACCCGCTTGGACAAGTTACAGACTGCTTATGCATCGTTGGAACAGGATTATAAGAGGATTTTATCCGGATTGTCGTTGCACAAGCGTTCGCTTGATACAACTGAAGCCAGTAGCAAGAAATTCAAACTTAATGTGTAGATAATATGATAATACAATATAAAAGTTACAAATTTGTAAAATACGTATAATCGCTAACTAAATGATTCTTGAGCTTAATGCATTGGATTTCCAGGCAAGCCCAGTTTGTATAGGACAATGTGTAGACATTATTATACGACGGTTAGCACAATACATATACACCATACGCATTTACGTAATCATGATTTACACTTAATCCTCTAACGATACACTTCAGCTAATTTGGATCTTTGGCAATCATATATAATGCATACGTGTCTGATTTTTACTGGAGTATACGTGGTTGTGTGACCTCGTTTATGTGACCAACTTGCTTATTCTACATCATTCTTACAATATCTCCAAGCATCTCCTTTCTCACCTCATCAGCCCCTGTTGATATGTTTATCTATCCTGCTCCTTTGTTCCGCTGCAACTAGACATCACTTTCGTACACTCTATGTTCCATGTAGAAGCTTTCGAGACGCATGGAATCATCCTGTACATAGAAAACTGACCATCCACCATCGGTATACGAATCATATACGAAATTTCTCCAACAACCTCCTCTTGCGGGCTCACGCGTGCACTTATCCTCTTCTTATTAGCACCCTTATCTACCACGCTTATCATGTGTGCTTACTTGGAGGATTCCCACCTCACCACTACAAACTGTATTCCTCAGTGCCCACCACCAGACCTTGTCCTCTTAAGTTCCCCCGCCTCTGCCCCGTGACGCCATCGCACCACCTTTGGGCGTTCTTCACCTGCACAATGTTTATGATCGCATATTTTCCTATTTAGGCCACATCATCATGACGTAATTTTGTCTTGTTTGCGACATTCGTTGGTGTTTACGTAAGCTCTCGACATCTCTACTATTTCTACGAACGTCGTATACGTCAACACGATGCTTGTTCATGTTCGGCGAACAAAACAGCATGAACAACTTGCTGTGGAATGGGTCTTTGGGTGGAAAACATTAAGTTAGAAAGTAGCTCGCTATGTAGCTAAAGATAACCACAACATGATCCCTAGATTAATTGGCTCATATACATGACTTAAGGCAATAATAGTCCCATCAACAAGTTTGGTAGCAATATAAACCGATGCGGCTTATTTCGATGTTACCATATTCTGAAAATAGCAAGTAACACAAAGACCGAAAAAGAAGTCATTGAAAATTACTTGACAATATTTCACCCTTGCAAGTATTTAAAGGGATGAAAGTCCCCCAATTGGATATTAACAAATATTGGGTTGATAAATTTAACAGATAAAATGCATAGAACTTACTCTTTGAGATCCAGCAAAGCTCCAACAGCAGCACAATTGCAATCGCCTCCACCACCACCATCTTCTACCAAGTCCAAGTTTTTCGGTAAGGGAGGAATTGCTTCCTCTTTCCGTAAAACCGTTGCTGGTAGCACCGGTCCAGAAATGTCCAGAAAATTATCACAATTCGTCAAGATGGAAAAGAATGTGATGAGAGCCATGGAATTGACCGCTAGAGAAAGAAGAGATGTTGCCAAGCAATTGAGTTTATGGGGTGAAGGTAATGATGAAGATGTCTCCGATGTTACCGACAAGTTGGGTGTTTTAATTTACGAAATTGGTGAATTAGAAGACCAATACATCGACAAGTATGATCAATACAGAATCACCTTGAAGACCATCAGAAACATCGAAGCTTCTGTTCAACCATCCAGAGACAGAAAGCAAAAGATCACCGACGAGATTGCTCACTTGAAGTACAAGGACCCACAATCCCCAAAGATTTCTGTTTTAGAACAGGAATTAGTCAGAGCTGAAGCTGAATCCTTGGTTGCTGAAGCACAATTATCCAACATCACCAGAGAACAAATTAAGGCTGCTTTCAACTATCAATTCGATGCTACCAGAGAATTAGCTGAAAAATACGCCTTAATTGCTGGTTACGGTAAGGCATTATTGGAATTGTTAGACGACTCTGCTGTCACTCCAGGTGAAACCAGACCAGCCTACGATGGTTACGATGCTTCTAAGCAAATCATTATTGATGCTGAAAACGCTTTAGCTTCTTGGACTCTCGATTCTGCTGTCGTTAGACCAACCTTATCTTTACACCAATCTGAATATGATGAAGAAGAACACTACGATGGTGAATTAGACCAAGCCGCTGAAGAAGAATTTGCTAAGCACGATGACGATGTTGTTGAAAACAAATAGGTTTAATGTAAACGTAATTTCTTGTTATTTGACTTCTTTTACATGACAGATCTAATTTACTATTTGTCTGTATTCTTCTGTATTATGTATTAGTTAATGTATGTTTTATTATTTATTTCCGGGCGCTAGGATATCTGGTATTTGTCAATCGATTATCCACTGCTATACGCGGCTTATCTATATAATATAAGCACTCCTTGAATTTTGCTAATTTAGTAGCGATAAAGGGAAATTCTTCGGTAGGCAAAATGTGCCCGCCTTAATTTTTTGCCGACAATTCGAAACTAAATTTCAATAAGAATTTCAATTTCATCTCCGGTCTGCAAGTTTCTATTGTTCTCGACCTCAAGCATAATATAGTTTCTTGTGGCTAATTCTAGTATACTCGAAAACGAGTTCGCGGCCAAATTTCGATTTACAGGAATTTCGGTTCCATTTCGTAACTTACTCTTAACCAGCGGTATTAGATTCGAGAATTTGATTTTGGAGTACACAATCTCGTTTGAATTGGAAGTTTCTTTGTTGATGTACTGAAAGTAGTTTCTGCTCAACTTACAGTCGGCTTTAACGTGCTCACCTAATAAAATGCTTCTTGATTGCAAAAAATTTAAGAACTTAACCAACGTAGCCGTTATCTTAGTTTGTGAACCAATACGTTGAGTTAATAAGTGAGGAGCGCCCGGGGTATAATCAAGACTCTCTTCTAGAAATTCCTGGTCATTTGGTACACTGGATGATCTGGTCGACTTGGAGCCGGACCTTTTACTTCCTGATTTGCTTCTACTTCTGCTCCTAAGTTCACTGTTGTTGATTTCCGGGAAGGATAAATCGAATATATCCTGCAGGTCATTGAATTCTAGGTTTATGTCTTGTTCGATTTCGAAGTTAAATTTATCCATTTCTTCATCATTAATTCTGGGTTCAATATTTCTACCGAATTCAAGGTCTTCACTCAATTGCTTAGAATTGAATCTGACTGGTGTTCTTGAATTTAATTTAATGTCATCGGTTATCTCAGGACCAAAAATACATTTGCAAGTGTATTTAGTTGCAAAAGGTTCTTCATTGTTTTCTTCGTAGAGTAATTCATTTACTGATGAAATTCTTTGTTTCGCAAAATTTGCAATTTTTATTCTTTTATTGTGAATATTCATGATGTTGTCATAACTGTCTCTAAAATTTTTTAATTCACTGGAAGAAATCTTCATACTCTCATCAATTATAATCTTTCTGTAATTTCGTTTCCGCTTTATTGACTTGTTTGTATCTAAAATTGTTGTTTGATTAGTATGAGTATCATGCGACATATGGAAAGTTTTATCGTTTGTTATAGTTTTTTCGTATGCTCCTTCAGTTATACTATCTAGTGAGTCTTCACTTCTCTCAATTACTTGATCGAAGTCAATTATACTTAAATCTTCGTTTTCATGTTCTTTGCTTCCAAGATTTATATTAACTATTTTTCCATCATCGCCAAATTCAAAATCTAGTGCAGCATCAGATTTGAGACTCTCGCTTAATTCGTCTAACGTGTGTAATTCTTGATCCATAAAATTTTCGATCGTCTTAGTATGTACATCTGGTACTACTGTGATTTGTCCAACCGAAGTAAATAAAGAAAGATTCATATCATGGTAAAGCTGTTGGTCGAGTTGTTGAATACGTTGCCTACGTTCATCTTGTTCTTCTGACAACGTAAATGGATTAAACAAGTCTCTGCTAACATCGAAGAATGGATCTTCTTTGAGAAATATCTGATTTTGATCTCTTGCTTTGAAATTATCATACTGCAGGTGATTTATATTAATAACGGTGAAGTTCTGTTTATTAGTCAATGTGTTCAAAAAAATCTCCTTTTGGAGTTTGGTTTTGATAAGTGATACATCACTTAAAAAATAATCTATCTTTTGTTTATACATTAAAGATACCCCATATAATAGGTTAGAGGACAACCTCAAAGGGATTGCTGATTGTGGATTGCCAATTATATCGCATGTCTGAGGGATTGAAATACTTAGTATATCTTTCCTCACTAGTCTCCTATATGTTGTTTTTGATCCTAAAGTAGCTAGCAACCAAGCGGTACTAAGGCCAGTATCAACAGAAACCTTGGAAATTAATACATTGCTACTATTTATATTATTATTGTTCATATTGATAGGTGTTTTGCCGTTTTCAATGACAGAATAGAGAAATGGCTGTAAAATAAAAAGTTGGCATTTGACGCGCTTTTAAACATATTTTTTTGCAACAAGTTTTAAGTAAGACGAAAACATTACGATGGTATTTATTAAGGTAATTCTATGTATAGATATGTAAAGATATAAAATAAACAAACTGAATATCTAAGAATTATGTGATCTTGTTTCTTACTGTACGTAACTTTTCATAGAGGGTAATAATCCACTTGATAGTAAGTTCAAAATCATCATCCTTCAACGAACTATAAAGATAAGGGAATATACTATGATCAACACGAGACGAATAATAGGTACTATTTTCACGAGTCAAGAATTCTGGAACACCATATAATACATGGTTAAAAAAACCCTCCTGCTTAGTTTCATATATATATTGGTAATCTTTATTATTCAACGTTAAAGCATTTTCAAAATGCAGTAATCTATAGTTAGCGAGTTTATACTGAGCAAATATTTTCAACTTCTTTAACAGGTTGTACCAGGCAAAATCTTCTATCAATTTCTGTGCAATATCATCATTGTAGATATCTAAAGCTAGCGATTGTTCCACTAAGTCTTCAAGTAAAGAATGGAGTCCTTTTAACAACATGGAAAATTTTATTTTATTGGAGTTTGCATTGTCTTTTAAGTCTGAATATAGACTTGATTTCTCAAGTAAATACAATGGCACTTTCTTGGACGACCATTCACTAAGCTTGAATTTATTTTCAGCGAGAAATTGATCAAGATATGTGCCTATCTTCTGGAAGTACAGAACAGTTTTCATATCTATAACTTCACGTTCACCTAGGGATACTGCCAATAATCCGATATATCTAATTAGCAGGCCATGTAATAGAAGCTCATTATCGATCTTACTTTTGATCAACCAATCGTATGAATAATAATTCGAATTAGGAACATGTATAGCCGGATCCCGTAGAGGATCATTTTCAAATTTGATATTGATCAGTGGAACACCCAAGAAATTTTGGAAAACAAGAGCATCTGATCTTTTTATCAGCTCTCCAAGTAAATTATTTATAGATATATTATTTTGTCTCGCCCAATAATTATGCAAAGTAGTGAATTCATCGTCCTCATGTTCATGACCATGATGGGCTTTATTTGGTTGTGCCTTTAAAATAGTAGAATTCTTAGGTATCGGAATGAATTTAGAAATTTTCCTCAAGACATGATTAAACAATGGATTTGAGTCTACTTCAAAGTGGCTACCTGCGACTGCATCTCCATCTATGTTAATATAGCAAAGCACTGGCTGTTTAGAATTAAATGCCTTAGTATCATTTGTGAAAAATCTAGATCCTAAAAGACCATTGTGAGTACCATCCCATGATACAAATTTTATAGTTCTTAATGGTTTCCAGCCTAGTTTTCTTAATCTTTGAAAGTTTCTCATTATTTCAAACAAAACAGCATGACTACTAAGAGGGTTTGAACTAGTAAATGAATCACGCGAGGCGCCAATAATTATCTCACTATCTCTTATAATACCTTTTACGGAACCCAAGACATTAGTTAGCTTTCGATTTTTATCTGAGGCAAATTTTGTAGTGATTTTTAATTTGAAAGGGTTTGAATTCAGTGGGTGAAAATGCCAATGTACAAAATCACGATTAATTATGTTGGAATTCAAAGTTTCTAATATGGGTCTCACAGAGTTAAAACTTATTGGAACTGAGGGAATAGTTGGACAAACCATGGCCTTTGAAATATCAAAAAAATCGATTCCGACAGTATCCCTTAGAATGGCCAGTTTCAAATAATTATTGGTATCATTTATCTCGTCGATATCATTATAGACAATGAAGCCAATAGCACCATAGCTTTGCGCTATTTGTAATTTCTCTGCTGTAGACAAGTTAGATTTCATGTTTGACCCCACAATAACTATCTTATTCTTTGGGTCAATTTTGTTCTTTAGCAATAATTGAAAGTCTTCATTTGCACCTTCGTTTACATATACATACTCTGCTGTAGCATTTCCGGAGAATCCAAATCCATTATAAGCAGGAGTTTTAAAAGAAGATTCGAACAAAGATGCATTGTAAACGCTACTTCCCGTTTTGGAGTCAATTAATTCGATTGACAGCGAAATTGGTTGTTGCAAGTTGGGAACATCATAAGAATATGTCTCAGTTTCGAATCCTAGATCCCTGAAATTTTTCTTCACATATGAAAGCAATTCATTATTATCTGCTCCTATCAAGGTAGCGTCTTTTTTCCGGTTTATTGTAGTGAAATTGCCTAACCACCAGCTAATATAATCTTCGTTTGCTACTTCATTATAAGTATTTCCTATACTACTGAATAAAAGATAGTTCCGCTTGACATCAGATTTGGTCAAATGTTGTCCATGCCATCTCCGAAAATCCCTACTTAGTGAAGTTCTCGGTAAAAATGATAAATGCATCGCTATGATTGCAACTACCCCTAAAGAGCAAAACCACCAAAACCTTTTCTTTGAAAACTCTATTAACTCTCTTCTGATTTCTTCATATTTTGATTGGGCATCCTCATTATCCATTAAGCTATTATTGGTCTGTGGCTGCTGTTGCTGCTGTATTTGTCCCAGGAGTTGACTCAGTAACAACGGAACCGTTTCATTGTCGCCCTCATTTTGCAGGTCTCTACTTAACTGAACCATCTCTTAATACCTGTTATTATCATCAGTTCTATACAAATGCTATTATGACGTGAATAAGGATTATTTGTTGTATTGTTACTTTAGACCGTTATCAGTTTTGTATATGCCTGACCAACTTTTATTACGAAATTGACCACGCATAGGTCATATGACAAGTAATTAAAAATTAATTGGATTAAGTATATCAATCAGATAGAATTTCTCCTACGTATACTTGCTCTAACATTTACCATGTCCATGAACATTGTAAAGAATGAATATTGTTGAATTGTTAACCTTTTAAAGATACATTGTAACGACTATGAAATTACAGTGTTTTAAATTAAGCCTTTATGGCCAAGTTGGTAAGGCACCTCACTAGTAATGAGGAGATCGTCAGTTCGAATCTGGCTGAAGGCATTTTTTTTTCTAGCTTGATGTTTTGGGACTGAATTCAAACATTTTTAGCCCAATTTAAACTACAGTGGTTACTTGTACCAAATCATTTCTTGAAACATATTGCTTTTATTGTAGAAGCTTGTATTAATAGAATGCACTTTTCATTCATAATTTCATTCATAATTTCGTAGAATATGTAGATATAGATTTCGCAGAGATGCAAGTGAGCGTAAATTGTTGATGAGCATACAGAGAATTAAATAAAACAAGTGTATCATAACGATAATATAGAGTAATGAATATAGATGGACTGTCAAAGGAGAAGATATCAGATTCACAAATAACCAGTGAACAAATTTTGCAGGATGCGTTTCAACTAAGAGATGAACCTTTAAATCGTCCTAAACAATCGATCCAAGACTTGGACGAATTAAGATCGTTTCAGCTTACTAAAAGAAAAGAGTATGAACAACAATTGAATAAGAACAGATTAAATTTTGGACAGTGGTTGAGGTATGCAAAGTGGGAAGTAAACCATAATCATGATTTTCCTCGGGCAAGATCGATTTTTGAACGGGCCCTAGAGGTTAATGTACAGCATATTCCTTTCTGGACACATTATATCCAGTTTGAGCTTTCAAATAAAAACATAGTACATGCAAGGAACTTGTTGGATAGAGCTGTAACAACTTTGCCTAGGCTTGACAAATTATGGTTTCTTTATGTACAGACAGAGGAGACATTAAAGAATTACCAGATGGTTAGAATAATCTTTGAAAGATGGCTATCTTGGAATCCAAACCCTTCTGCATGGGATGCTTATATAAACTTTGAAAAACGGTACGATGAATTTAATAATGCTAGGGAGATCTATGTGAGATACGTACAAATCCATTCATCTGGTGAGATATGGTTGAAGTGGATTGATTTTGAAATGAATGACGTTCCAGTAAACGCTGAACAAGTGACACGAATCAGGAATGTTTTTGAATTATCAGTAGATACCATGTTATCATCAGAATCATTAAGAGGAGATATACTTCTTGCTGAAATAATTAATAAGTGGTCACTCTGGGAAATTTCGGTGAAAGAATACGAAAGAGCAAGAGCCATATTTCAATTAATGTTAAAAAATGACAAAATTCAAGCAATCATAACCCCGGAACAAAGGAATCGAATCTATCTGTCATATACTGAATTCGAGAAAAGTTACGGTGACAAAGATACTATTGAATCCAGTATCATGATAAAAAGAAAATTGAAGTATGAGGAAGACGTGAATAAGAATCCACAGGACTACGACTCATGGTGGTCTTATATTAATATTTTACAACAGGAGGATAATAATGAAGTTACAAGAGAAGCTTTCGAGAGAGCGGTTCTAGTAATACCGACAGATTCTTTCAAATCTACCGTTTGGAGAGGGTATATCTACTTGTGGATCAAATATGCATTCTGGGAAGAGTTCACTATGGGAAGTATCAAGAACGCTCGAAATATCTGGAATAGAGCATTAAAGATTATTCCACATAAACATTTTACGTTTGCAAAGGTATGGGTGAGCTTTGCTCAGTTTGAAATAAGGAATGATTCTGAGAGTGGTCTAGCAAATGCAAGAAAGATATTAGGTAGATCTATTGGGCAATCTAGTATTCTTAAGCCCAAAAGGAAATTATTTAAGTTTTACATTGAATTAGAAAAAAAATTGGGCGAATGGGATAGAGTTAGAAAGCTATATGAGAAATGGCTAGAAATATCATTGGTAGGGGAAAACAATTTATCTACTATTAATATCTTATTGGCTTATATTGATTTTGAGAAAAGCATACAAGAGCACGAAAGATGTGTTTATCTATATGAATTAGGTGTTCAATTAGTAGAAGACGATAAAATATTTACTAAGGACAATCCATTAGAGTACATGTTGACGAGTTTTATTGATTACTATAAGGAAGAAATGAGATATGCTGAAGCTAGAAAGTTATATAGAAAGTTGCTGGAACAAGTCTCGACTGCTAAGGTATGGATTTCATTTGCCTTATTCGAGTCATCTATACCCACTGATTCTCAATTAAAGGCTTTTGAAGAAAGCACCGATGAAGAATTTGAATTTTCAATCAATGAAACGCATAGGGAAAAGACTAGGGGCATATTTAAGGAAGCCAATAATCATTTCAAACAAAAAGACCTAAAAGAAGAAAGGGCGGTTGTTATACAAGCATGGAAACAATATGAAGAATCTCACGGTTCTGAGGAATCATTGAATGATGTCACCAAAAAGACTCCTGTCATAGTCAAAAGAAGAAGATTAATTGAAGGAGAAGAAGAAGAATATTTAGATTACATTTTCCCTGAAGATGAAGAAGAAGCTAAACCAGCTAAAATATCTGGCCTTAATGATTTCTTGGCTAACGCCCAAAAATGGATGGCTAATCAAAATCAATGAAACCCTGTTATATTAACTCTACATTTTTTCAATGATAAGCAAGTCCTCTTGGATCTCAATTGCATGATATATAATTTATTAACCTAATAATATGGATAGTCGTAAAGTATATCTATAGTAGAATAATACCTGTGAGCTTTTGATCAATAAAATAGAATAACTTCTATTAATCTGTTGATCTAGCTATTATTGCTCTAATGAAGGGTGTAAGGAAAAACACACCCCATGCATGTTATCACATAAATTTCCTCTAAAACCCTCCTCTCAACGTCAAAACCAAATGTAACGAAGCACCTGCATTTATATTTGATTCTTGAACAGTGCTATCATCATTTAATTGGGATCCATTGAAAATCAACCGCTGTTGAGATGGGGGAATACCTTCCTTTTCTTCCATCATATCTTTTATACAAATGATTTTATCAGTTGGCTCAATATCAACGGGGATATCTCTACCTGTCAAAGTTTTAACTTTAACTTGCATAATTGTGTATTAACTAGTTTCTAAGGACCAATAATAAGAATATATTATTATGAAGTGAGTATTCGGTTGATTTTTTGGAATACTCTCACTGAAAAATTACATTCAATAGTACATCTAATAATGATTTTTAGATGATTGCTGCAATATATCATACACACACCGATGCTTCCAACCCCTATAGTAAAAGATATAGATATCGATAATGTATACGAACCAGCAGAAGATTCGTTTTTGCTACTTGACTGCCTTGAAGAACAATGTCACTTCATCACTGATAGATTTAGATCAAGAATTCCGTTGGTTACAGAAATAGGCACTGGGTCTGGGATCGTTACTACATTCATTCAGCAGAACATATTACCACAGTCGATATTTATAACTACAGATATCAATCCACATGCATGTAAAACGGTCTTGCAAACCGATAAAGCCAACAACGATAAGTCCAAAGACACTAGGGAACCGTATGTGCTCGATTCATGCCAAATGAATTTAACAACTGGAATAAGACATGGCGCCATTGATATGCTTGTGTTCAATCCACCGTATGTACCAGCATTTGAACTCCCCAGCATTCCAACTACTGATGAAGATAAGACATGGCTAGACCTTGCTCTCTTGGGTGGAGAGGACGGAATGGTTGTAACATGGAGATTATTAAACGAATTGGATACGATATTAACTCCTGAAATTGGGGTTGCCTACATTTTATTTTGTGCCAGGAATAATCCGAAAGAAGTTGCAAAAATCATGCAAGAGAAGGGATGGGACGTTAAAACGATAATTTTCAGAAAGGCAGGATGGGAAGAGCTTAGTGTGTTACGGTTTATGAGGCCATGATTGCCATAGTGAAGTGACTATGTTATAAACAGTGCAAGTCTGGGCAAGATGGGGACACTTTTCATCAGAAATAAATGAAACTACTCAAATTTTTAGAATTTATTCGACACTTACGACTGAAACCATCATCATTCTTTCAAATCATAGCATATATATATATACATATATATATAGGAACATAATAGACCACCATGTCCCATTTATGAAGTCATAACTAGGACTTCTTAAATAACCTGTAAAAGAATATTATTGCAGGTTAGAATTTGGGTCTACGAGATCCACAACCATCGTGAAGAGGTATAGATACAACTCTTTAGGAAGGCTTTATAAGATTGTGAAACACGAGTATGTCAGCATACAGCAGAAGATATACTGATGGGCCTCTGAACTATGGACAGGACATAAGAGGTCGATCTGAAAAAAAGGTAGAAGCGGCACAAACTACAAAATGGTCAGGCACCCCATCAAGACATAAGAAAATTGGAAAAGAAGATTTCGATACTATTATAACAGGGCATTTGACTCAAGAACAGATGGATGCTTACCAACAATACTTTAGAATTGAGGAAATTTCAGATATACTAAGGATTGCTCTGGAACTGCAATCAGAAGTTCTCAGTTTACTTCCATCAGGTAATATTACAAACAACCCAAATTATGAAAGAGAACCTTCACCACCACCGAAATATGACCCATCTGGTAACAGAACTAACACAAGAGAGGCAAGGACCAAACTAGCTCTTGAAAAAGAAAGGCATTATTTAGTTGAAGTTGCGGCTGGTAGCATAAAGAATTATATGTCTCCAATCGACTACCGCAAACCAGTTAAAACGTACGAAAAAATTTATATACCCGTTAAAGATTATCCAGACATTAATTTTGTGGGGCTATTGTTAGGACCAAGAGGAAATACGTTGAGACAATTACAGGAAGATAGTGGAGCAAGATTGGCGATTAGAGGGAAGGGTTCAGTGAAAGATGGTAAGTCTACTTCATCGAATAATGATGAAGATGATTCCAACAGTTCATTATCATTTTCGAATCCAAATCTTAATTCGAGTGGTAACGATGATTTGCATGTTGTAATAACGTCTGATTCTCAGCTGAAAATAGCAAAGGCCATAAAATTGACTAATCAAGTTATTGAAAAGGCCATTTCATCGCCAGTTGGACAAAATGACTTGAAGAGGGGTCAGTTAAGAGAGTTAGCTATATTGAATGGTACATTGAGAGAAACTAAACCTTACAACCCAGAAGCGATGCAGTCCAGACGTCGCCCAGGGTTGGATGTCTCACAGCTTGTTTGTAAGCTGTGTGGAAAAGTTGGTCATTTCGCGAGAGATTGTAAATTTAGAGGACCTGCTGATAGCAGTAATTATGCAGCAGCACCTGAACAACCTGATTCATATCAACAGGCACCATATTCTGATTCAAGAAGACAAAGAGAAGAAGACGATTCAAGAAAGAACGGCAGAGAAGAAATATTACCACCATGGAAAAAAAAGAAGCCCAATGTACCTTTACCACCATGGCAGAAACCCCAACAACCACAGACATCATCAGATGTTCCACCTCCGCCAGCAGGGTTGGCACCTCCCCCTCCACCGGCTACTTTGGTACCACCACCACCTCCAAGTATAATTTCAGCACCACCCTCAGGTATAACACCACCACCACCACCTTCAAATGCCGTACCACCACCACCTCCAGGTTTAGCATCAGTACCATCTTCAGATAAAGCACCGCCACCACCACCTACAAGTAATATGCCACCACCACCTGCAAGTAATATGCCACCACCACCTTCAAACAATCCACCACCACCTCTGTCTGCGAAATCCGCTGCACCACCACCGCCGCCACCAGCAGTTTGATTAAATAATTTCTAGTTGGCATTATGAGTCTTTAGTCTTTAGATCGTAGTATATTATACTTCATCAAGTATTTAATAATATTTACATCTCCATTCGAGTAAAAACCGTAAAATTATATAGGATTAAAGCTTTACAAATATAATTATAATACAAAAATCCACAAGGGATACTATCATTGGGCTAAATAAAGCAATTCTAGTAACTGATACTTAAATTACTACAGGAATCTACTCTACTAATACTCTTCTCTCAATTACTAGGTTGATGGCTTTGACTCATCTCAGAAATTATTATATATAATAAGTATATCTTAATTTGTCTTCTCTTATACTTCTGTAAGGGAACTGGGCCTAAATTAGGTAATACTATGTGGTTCCTACTAATCTAACTTTATCTTAACTTATAGATTGACAACTTAACTAATTTCTCTCTATTTAGGTCCTAATTCCCTTGATCCCTCGTCTGAGCTATATCGGGATTCTTCTAAGTATTCATAGTTTTGCAATCGTGGCTGTAACTACAACACGTATAACTTGCGTGTAACTTCATAACATATACATATATGAGCATGTTCACTTAGAACTTCAACAGTTCT